GACTTGCGTCGGGGAGACGCCGGGCGTCCACGCGCCCTATGTGCCGGTTTTGTCTCGGAGCGGGTCAATATAGGAATTTGTTCCATGGGGACCATGTCCGTCACCCAAATCCATCAGGTTCAAAACGTTCGAGCACCGATATTTCTATTGTTCGCCGATCTTTAGTTACACTTGTAATACTCGGATAAAAGACTGTGGTACGACATTTTACAAGACCTAGCTTTTTATTCGCTATGTTATCGTGTCTCACGAGCTAAAAGGTGTACTTCTCCGATGATCTGGAAACATAGTAGACATGGCTTGTGCTCGGACGTTGTTGATTTACTGTCGGATCTTGGGTGAACATGTGCCGCCCCGGAATTACACACCATATATGCGATGGCGACGCCTACTAAGTCTCCGAGACAGAATGCACCATCTTTAGGATTTTTGACGCCCATGTCTTTACACTGCGTCAAAGCGCGCTGCTTGTAACGACGCAAGCCACTCCTCTCACGCATGCCGTCAGATGCGGCCTCAGGAAAGTTCGATTATCAGTGTTAGCTGACTCTACCCACGTTGCAAAACCTTACAGTGGTAGACTGGTACACAACGGATATGACAGATCGTCATCTTGCGTCGCAAAGGACCGCAAGTAATCACTACCAACGACAGTCGTACCTCATCAGAGTCTTTACTGCTAGTCTTGTCTGATCTTCTGTAGTGTATGGCACAGACCTAAATCGTAAACCTTTACTCACCGCTGTATGTCGCCTCGTCCAGTGGCGTGGCTAAACGTTTAAACAACAAATCCAATTAAAAAAAGCGAGCAAGAGGAAAAAACTTATCTCCCCCACGGATGTAAAGTTGACCGGGCCTCTAGGCTTCGCTTGCGAAGCGGTCCCGATGTTGTATGGTCCAAAAATGAATTAGAGGGCGTGTTAAACAGACCACCAGCCTTACAGAGCGATACACAATCAGTGTAAGAAATTTTTTGTTCTGTTGGGGGTAAATTCAAAGCCCAAAATTTTTACACAAACCATTTTGACGCGCCACAAATGACTCGTAACAATTGGCCATATATCAATGGGTGTAAAAGTAAGTTCATTACGCAAACGTAAATGAAGCAATGTCGTTTTTCATTAATATATGGACATGGCAAAAAATGCGCGCAATGTGTTGTGACATCTATCGGTTGTACCGGAACCCTAAATTTGTAAATTGTAAAATGATCGATATTTTGAGTTTTATTTTTGACTACGACATGCCATGTGAAGTTTATTCCGTAACCCACCGAAATAATATGGAAGGTGACTGGTCGCACCGGTACCGTCACAGGTCAGGTATTCGCCTACAACTTCTTGAGTCACTTCCATCATTTGCTGAGGTGTCTAGGTTGGTCCGTTCGACGCTATGGCTTTACCAACGTTGTCGTCGTAGAATTTTGTGGAGGTGTGAAAAAAGGAGGGTGTGCCAGAGGCCGAACCAGGACGTGTGTTGTTTTTGGTGTTGTGTGTCTCCGTCCAAAATTTTCTCCCGTCACGTATAGATTTGAATTTTTCTTATCTTCAGCTATTGTGAACCTCATGGTGGGTAGACCGGAGACTCTAGCATGTTTTCATCTTCTTACACGTGCGTTTACCTTTATGATCATGTTCAATCGAGTGTTTACCGAGTGTCCATGTCATGTGACTCATTTACAATGTGTTTCCAGGAATTTTTGCAATTTAGCGGTGTGTGTTTTTGGGACAACCTAAAACGATAAAAGACGTACTTCCCGTTTCTTGACCTTCTCCTTTAGGTCCCTGCCGTCTTGTCCTTTTCATCTACTTGAGCACCTGCTACTCCGCTGGTCCACCCGTTAGACCCTTGAAACCACATCAACAGGGTAGTAACATCAGGTCCGGCACAAAGTAGCCTCCCGAACCTCCCCCAAAAGAGACCGGTTGTGGCGTGGTACATGAGTGCGGTCCATCCGTCGTCGAAGTTCGTACAGGCGGCACGGCAAGTGGAGGAGCTAACCAGGTCACAGTCTAACTTACCGTCCTGTCCGTCGTCTTCTGACCCTTGTTGTCCTTGTGTCGTTTCGGGCGACGAAGACTGCTGCTCCGGGGGCGAGGGCGGCGAGTCAGGCGGGAGTAAGCTAGTGTCCACAACGGAGGGTAACGTGATGTCCCCATCTGACCTGTTGCTACTGTCTGCAGTAGATGCAGTGTTGCTGGCGTTTAGTGATGGTTGCTTTAAGCATTTTCGTATAAATGATTATCCACAGATGTGCATCACTGCTGTGGAAGCACTTTGGAAATGATGCACACGCAGCGGAGCAGGTCACGCGCACCTGATGCAATTTGTTGTTAGTATTTTTCGCTCCGTTCTCTTTTTTGAATAGAGGGTGCATAACATTCAACTGCCCCGAAGATCCCGACGCGAAGCCTGAAGGGTAAACATACCAGGTTTACTAATCTACCCGCACAATTTGTCTGGTGTCGGAATGTCTCGCTATGTTAGTACATTCTTAAAAAACAAAACACCATTTAATTTCGGGTTAAAATGTGTTGTAACTGCATTACTGAGCATTGTAACGGGTAATATATTACCCACATTTCATTAGTAATGCGTTACATTACTTCGTTACAGCAAAAAGTAATATATTACTGTAACTCCGTTAACGCGTTACACCCAACACTGTAGATAGCACATGCCTGGATTAAACATTTAACATTTTACTATGCTATAAAACTCAAAATAAAACTGATGTGTACGGTACACGTTAAAATAAGGCATTGGGTGTGCTTTATTATACTTCCACTGACCAGCGTGGCATGGAGTTCCAGTCATAAGGGATGTTGAAGAACTCAGTGAAGTAGTAAGTCCCACAGATCAACGGCAGCTGGATACAGAAATGGTTGAACAGCAGCATCTTAAAACACCTCCACTGTTTCTCCCAGGTCTCCGGCTTGTCCTGCGCACAACAAAAACACACACACACACAGAAGGTTTAAAAGAGGCATGATATCTTAAACTTAAAAAAATAAAGTCATAACCACTTGGAGTACCACCATTGCCTCTGAGATGTACAAAAGTAGAAGAATGTAGCAGGAAATGGAAATACTAGTACAAGTAGCTCAAAATTGCTCACAGTACAGTACTTGAGTAAATGTACACAAAAGGTCCTTAAAACTTAAATCCCACACAAACCTGTTGGATCTTGTATTTCTGCATGAAGGGCAAGAACTGGAAGAGGAATCCGGGGAGGCAGAACAGGAAGTAGATGAACTCGTGGACGATGAGCGACCCCCAGGTGGCAATCTGGAACTTGGTGTAGTTGTCCATCATGTAGTCCCAGGCGTGTTTCATGGAGGGCTGGAGGGGGTTTTCTGGCAACACCGCATCCATGTACTCCACCGCCAGGTAGGCAGAGCTCAAGATGTCCGCCGTGCCGTTCACCTCCATGATGGTCAGTGTCAGATGAATGCAGGACAGGAGAGAAGACTGGGAAACAGGAACACAGTGTTATAATAAAGTTATAAAAATACTTTAGAAAGAACACACTGTATACAACTCTCAGACAGCAGGTATCTCTACAGCTATAGGTATAGAGATAATATAATTCAGTCATGCTGGTACAGTGCAAATGTGTCTTTTAACAAAAAGGTACAACAGTGGAAGAAGTTTGTCATCTTTAACTGAGTAAAAGTGACGATACTATACAGTGTCAAAAATACTCCTCGACAAGTATCTAAGTAAGTCCTCCTTTAACAGTCTTCTTTAAGTATGAGTACAACAGTATTAGCATCAAACTATACTTAAAGTACAATTAATATTATATATTTGGGTTTCTTGTTGGATTGACCAAATATAAAACGTTTTTTACCTCAAAGAAAAGTGTGACTAAAGATGTTGACATAAGTTGAATAGTTGAAGTGCATACATTTCAAAGTCCTGTTCCTTGAGTGCTAGTATATAAATGTATAAATATATAGAATATTTCAAATTATTGTAGTATAAACAAATCAAAGTATCAGATTTGACATGTTTGTCCCATATCCTAATCAGTGACTTATTATGCAGAATGGCTCATATAGTCCTAACCAATATATTATATAACTGAATTATGACTTATATAAAAATGAGTACTCAAGTAAAGGGCTGGTAACTCAAACTTCCAATACTTGATGGTCTACTGTTAATCCTTTACAGCTACATAATGATGATACACTATGACATAATACTGTTGCAACAATAAATACAATTTCAATCGTTAAATTCAACACGAAAACATGCTGAATTACACCGCTAAGAGATTGTTAATGCAAAAACGTAATGAATCTCAATGAAACAAACAGAGGAACTCTAAAAACAGCTAAACATTTCCTTATATCTCCCCAGTATCACTTACACTATTTCATGTTTATTAATGAGGTCTGTGTTTCAGATTACAAAGCGAGCCGGTGTATTGTTCTTAAAACTCGTAAAACCTAGCTCTTTTTCGCTGTATTATATGAAAAAGACATGTGGTTAAACAATCGCTGCTAATAAAAACAATAAAAACGGTCTTTTTGCAGCCTAAACGACGGTAAACTCACCTTGTCGCGGATCGTCCCGTCTACCTGACACTGAGGCAGCCGGCCATATGAAGTACAGTCATATCGAACAAGCTGATTGGTTGAGAGGAGAGGAGACCGACGTCGAGGGGCCGAGCCGCTTCGCTGATTGGTCCGTGACATGGACTGATGATAGTGAGACTGAATGTTTCTACAGCAACGGCCAATCAGAGGCGAGCTCTGCTTTCATAACCTCTGCAGTGAATGGATTGGACGAGTTAAGAGATGGGGTGAACTTTGAGTCATACATGCGTCTTCCGTCTCACATTTACATTTGTATAACACTTTGTGATTCAATGTCAACTTTGGAAACGTTGTATAGTTATTTTGACAGTCTTTACCTATTCAAAATGTAATACAGCACCACTTAAATGTATTTTTACATCTTTTAAAAAGTTTTAAATATTAAATGTTTGATATGCATCTTCATTTATCATATACATGCTCCATTTGTATTTTATAAGATGACTATTCGGTGTGTTTAAAATCGTAATCTGCTAAAGGCATATCACTGGCAAAAGTACTTCAAAATAGTACTTAATGTACAGTACAGACTTTTTGTTATTTCACACCTTGCAAAACTAAATTTAATTTGACAAAAGAAGTACAAAAGTTCTCAAATATTCAATGTTATCTAAATAAGGGCAGAATTGCAATAACTTTAACTGAAATGAAAACAAAATGGCAAGAAAATTAATTAAGAAGTGTCACTGAGAAGTCTAATAATGTCTAATAATGCCAGCTTTTTACACGACACTTATGATTACATGTTAAATATTGTAAATAAACAAATTACTGTAGAGTTTTAAAAACATCACACAAAGCATATTTTCATTTTCAACATTTTACTGATTTGGCAAAGTTTTAAAAACAGATGTCATTTCACAGCTTTAAATACAAGAAGCATATTTATTAATGATAATATAAAACAAGTAATGAAACATGTTCAAAGTCATTAGCCTACATGACATTCCTCAATACACTGACAAGAAAACAGCAATACCAGTTACTTTTATAGCAATATTTTTTCAACTGAAACTCAGGAGTAGGTTTGGTCACTTTCCAGAAAGAGAGAACACATTAGTTAAGTAGTAAAGAGAGACAGAAATGAAGAGACATATTAAAATTGGCACATTCATAGTACGTCAGGGTGTGCAGTAGTTAATAGGGTTGCTACACCAAAAGAGGGAGAGGGGACTGTTGAAGGATAGGAGGTTGGAGTTCGGGGACCATGCAGTGAGTTCAGGCCGTTGTAGTGGTTACAACCACAGCAAAGATGGCTGCCATGAGACAGTAAAGCACTGATACATCCAACTGTTTTCATCTCAAAACAGCTTCTCCCTATGTCCATCACTGTTTTTGGCAACATGAATGACTCTTCTCCTTTACCAGAAGAGTGGTGTTCAAGTCAAAGTCTGATTTTTTTATAGAACAAATGCACATTTTCTAGCTTGTCACGTTCTGAATTCATGCGGGCTAACGCAACCGATCTGGACTCAAATGTGTTTCTTTATCCCAAAACATCCTCAGAGTCCAGCTGTACTCTGTCCAGTAACAGTACTCAAGGCATAACAAAGGGGAAGAAGAGGGAAAGCGGGATGTTTTTAGACATTCAGGCACTCTTGAACAGCCACACTGCAACACTGTAAAAAGGCCAGAGGTCAGACACAGTGCGTTCATGCGGCGTCGGACCAGGCGTCCCCACACAGAGACTCAGATGCACACAAACGCACACATGCTCACATGTGCAAGCAAAAGGAGCACCTTTAAATGCAAGCGCACACACACAAACACACACTCACACACACTTTTCATGATAGAAAAGACGGAGAAACAAAGATTTGAGTCCCAAATGGTCCTTCTTTGCCTTCCTCTCCCGTATATTAGATCAGTGGTCTCTCTGTTAACATTACTAATGTTAAAATAACTTTGCAGTTATAGTAGCTTCATATCAGTAGTGTTTCAATGGCACTTCAGCAGAGCTTCACACTGGTGTGTCCATTCACCAGCGGCAGTCCTTCCAGGAGGGGATTAAAACACAGGTTTGATTCCCCCCCGTTTGTTACAGCTCCCCCTTTCAGGTAAGTGCAAAAAATCTTCTTCATCATCATCCTCAACAACAACAATCTTGTCATTTTCTTCCTCTTCGTCAGTGCCTGTGCTAATGCTGCCCAACATAATAGCATTGGCATCGTAGACAGATCCAAGATCAGTATTCAGCAGGAGAATACGTTCTGCTCCGAATCAGTGGCAGGAGTAGAGAGCAGTCATAAGGGCTTGTCGATCACAGTCACTCCTAGGGTCACAAAAAAAAGAGATTAAGCCTGTGCATCGCTACTGCCACACATTTATTTTCACATGCATGATGTGCAGGACATTTTATATTCTACATATCATAGAATCCCTTAAATAAATGGCAACTACAGTCACTTGTGTTAGTACTTTAAAAGTAGGAATACTTGTTTAAAAGGATTTCTATATTGTATCTACGTGGTAGACACTTTAGCATTTTAGAAATACATTTTAATCAAACATAATGACATTAAAGCTTTATGCATAGAAACATTTGTTGAACAGTGTATAATAGCTGTAATGTTCAAAGAAATGTCAAATGTACATCTCACTGTAGTTTGGATACAACATATTAAGTTATAATACGTTTTCAGCACTTTTGTATATCTACACACCTGCATAACTGCGTCCTGTGCTCATGCAGTTTGGCAGTAGTGTCCACTTGTCCGAGTTGGGGTTATAAAACTCCACAGAGGCCAGATTGCAGCTCCCGTCGTCCCCTCCCACCACATAAAGTACGTTGTTTACAGCACACATACCTGAAAACACACACACAGAATAAAGATTAATGGACGTCCTTCATCTCACACCTGAGGATGTTCGGTGGTCGGACGGTCTGCTTTACCTGCGTTGCGTCGACACATGTTCATGTCAGCTACCTGCCTCCAGCTGTTAGAGGCCGGATCATAAACCTCACAGCTCTTCCTCACCAGTGGGCCATCATGACCCCCCACAGCGTAAAGTAAACCTTTCAACACACCTACACCTGAGGACGACATCAAACACATTGGTCACCATTTCAATGCCACTAGTCAGAAAGAAAAACATGTTATGGAAGCAAAATAGAGCAAAACCTCAGAATTCAACAGTGCATGAAAAGTCACATTTGTATATAAGTTATTATCACAGTTATTGTTTGTTTGTCATCTTATAATATTGAACCACACACACACTGACCTGCTCCGCTGCGTCTCGTGCCCATCTCTGCTATGTAGCTCCATGTGCTGCTTTTAGGGTTGTAAGCTTCTACAGTACTCAGACATTGCCTGGTCGCACCGTCATAACCTCCAACTGCATACAGGATCCCTGAAACACACACACAAGGAAACACATTATAACTCAGAATAAGCGAGGCAATGAGATGGAGAAAATTATAGAAATACAAGGTACTTATGCAGATAAAAAGATTGTGAAGGATTTTGATGCAAATAAGCCATACATGTTTACTTCTTGGGTGCATCTATTTGCTGACTTTACTTTGTCATATAATGATTTGTCTTTGCTTCTTCTCTCTTCTGTACTGTAATACAGTAAAACGTTTTAAGACAGTTCCTGTCTCTATAAACTCTAGTAAGTTATGTGCTTTATACAAAAAGTATTTACTGCAGGATTACCTTATGGTTAATAGTGTTTATGACTTTAAAACTGAACTGGGATTCATATTCACCATTGACAACACCCACTCCTACACTGCTTCGTCGGGTACTCATGGGTAACACATGGAACCACTCGTCTGTTTTCGCATTGTACGCCTCGATTGTCGACAAACCTGCAAGCACACACACACACCATGTATCAAAGACACCATGAACAATTACATATTATATAATTTCCTGTTAAAAAGCCTGTAGGGATGCATCGCCTAAACCCTCTCTGTCTCACAGAAATGTAAAATATGGGATTGGATAGTGTATCTGTACCTGTGCTGCCGTCAAAGCCCCCCACAGCGTACAGGAGTCCGTTGAGCACTGCGGCCCCGAGCGTGGATCGGCGGTCCTGCATGCTGCTCACACTCGTCCAGCGGTCCATCATCGGGTCGTAACAGTCGACCGTCCGCACACGCAAAGAACCGTTGAAACCACCAACTGCATACACACACCCACCCACGTACACCACACCTAAAAGGAACGAGATTAGATAAGATTGAGAACACATTTGCACACATCATTTAAGAGAAATAGGCCTTTTGTTTGCATAGGGAAAGTCTCTTTTATTTTATGTCATTTATCTGTTCAGTGTATATTGCTTGAACCAAACCAACGGTAAACCCACCAGGAAGAGCCTGAACACCTCTGCTCTAAACATAAGCTATTTGCTAATAACACTAGTAAAGGATCATGCAGCCTGTTTTTAACTTAATATTCACAAGTTGACGAGCACCGCCTGAATGCAACATTAGTTTGGTGATTTAGGCCATTCAGGTTCTCTGATATAACAGCATTCTTCAGAGAATCCCGGCTCTAACTGTCTTTATGTTTATGTTGTTCTTATTGAGGGTTTCCTACCTGCTCTGCACCTCCTGGTCGGGAGCTCAGCCACCTGATACCATCGCTGCTCCTCAAAGTCGTAACATTCAACACTACGGATGGCTTTTGGAGCCTGGCCTCCGACCACAACCATCACCTACACAGAAGAGAAACAGCAGAGCCGTCACATGAAGAATGAATTCATTATTTTAACTAAAAGTGGAGGAACTTAGTGGAGGTTGCATAAATACCTTAGGACAGCAGGCTGGAGTCCTCATGCGTGTGCGTGCCGTTTTCATCAGAGCTCTCTGGTCAGCGGGCAGCAGGTGGTACTTCATGGCTTCAATCAGGTAATCTTTACACGCACTGCTATTCTTGATCAAAGACTCCTCCTCCACACGCTAACACAAACAAAACGAAAAGAGAGAGGATTTAAAAAGAGCTGCAGTATATTGTGGATTAATTAGTAGACTGACCAACTTTCACCATCATAAATTTAAATGTTAAAAGATCACACCTCAGTTGTGCTACCTGCTATAGCTCATGCATATTCATCCAAGTTGTGGCAATGTCCAACTTAAATTATAGTTTAATCGGACCTCAAAATAAATACACAACACAAGAGCTTGTATATCAGAGGTGACAGACACAAAGATAAACATATCTTCTAGATGCCTAGGAGAACTTTTAAAAAAAAATCTGCTTGGACTAGATTTACTTACAAGGTTAAAGACTTTTATACAAATGACTGGCTTAATATCTTAACATGAAATGTCTCCAGTTCATCCCTGTTTCAACAACAGCAGAAGCAAACTAGTTGGACCACTGTAAACTGGATACGTAGCAACATGTTGCTCAGCTGTTTGACACAGACAGAGTGTATTTAACCATCCTGGGTGTTGAAATGATTATGGCACTTGAACACATAAGAGTTTTTAGCAGCAGCGATGCACTGAGGCAAAAAGATCATTGGGATCAGGTCACTGGCAAAAAAACATAACCCTCAGTGCTCTGAAGCTGAGAACTCATCTTCCTTCTATCATAGAATACTTGAGACAGCTGCTCTGCCATTAGTTTAGCTATAATGTTCAAGATGTGTTTACATGTCTCTGTCGAAGTCACATGCTCACTAAAACAGCATTACTGTGTTTTTAGTTCACTGGCTTAATCAGTGAACTCAAAACACAAAGCTCAGATAATTTATATAATGTCTAAAATGTCAAATATTATACCATGTACAGTATGTTGTATCTTATTAAAAGGTGTCACTTCCTCATTCCTATTGTTGACAAGCACAACGACAAGTCATTGATTAATTCACCACAACACGTCCAGAGTCAGTTTGTCAGTAACTTCACAGAAACAAATAATCATGTACTGATTTTCAGACACACAACATTTTATACTGTATATTTGATCTATTACTGATACTGTAGTACAAACAAAGGGTTCAATTTGTGTGATATGATGTTTACATCAATCTTACTTAAAGGTGGGGTATGTAATTTATTTCAGAAACACTTTTCTAGCGCACTCGAGCTGGTTTCTCCAAAATTACCTACCCCACCTTTAATTGTAGTGAGAATCCAACATATCCGACATGTTCTAAAAAAGTTTGTAGTGGCAATTTCTTATGTTACCTTATATGGTAAAACTAAATGCTTCTGAAAGCATTGTCCAACACTACTGTACCATTTCTTCATATTTGCTGTTTCATCTGTTGTCTCTAATGAGGATTATTATTCTCAAGCGCTTCAAGGCCACAGAGCTGATTTTGCAGACTATGTTGAAACTACTCCTCTTCACACAAAGTTTGAACTTCCATATTCTGATAACCATTATACTTTCTACAGCTCAGGACACAGGTGTCTAATAACAATATGAGACATCCGTGTGAAAGCAGATTTCTGAGGCGTTCCGCCTAGCTACACAAAAACTCTGTCTGCCCGCCCTATCTTGTATATAAGCTTTGCTATTCTGTGACTATTGCGCACACTCCTGCAGACTACCCTGTACTCTGTGAGACTTGTGCCTTCGAGGCGCCTCGAATAAAGATCCAGAAAGACAACTCTGTTTGTTTCACCAGTTTATTGATTGATCATTCTAATTGTATATCTCCACAGTATTGACTAGGTCTAAGATTTCCATAACAAGTTCCAGTTTAGCTTGGACCCGTTATTTATCTCAGTAAAGATAGACAGAAAGAGCAACAGCCACATTGAATTCAAGCAGACAAACTTAAACGGAGCGATGTAGACACTCGTACCTGCACCAGGTATTCTCTGGAGAGAAGCGGCATGCGGACATGTTCCATCAGGTGAGCCAAATGCTCCTGCCGCACATCTTTATCGTGGTTTACCCAGGCTATCACTGCCTCAAACACCTGCAAAATAAAGTACCCAGAGACACTTTAAACACAGGTACAATCATTTAGTCGTGCTGTCCTGCCTATGTAGACACATGTATGAAAGTGCATACAAACAGCCCGCAGCAGTAAAACAACAAAATAAATATATTTCCCGAAATCCCTTTAAAACAAAACAATATAAATGCAGAAAAGATAGTTAAAGAGACGTTGCATTGGGCAGAGTGAATGTGTGTGTACCTTCTCCTCTGTGGGGATGGTGAGCTTGTCACTGGCGATCAGGCTGGACACTTGCTCCATGCCCAAATTGAGGAACTCTTCACTCCCAACCACCTCAGTGAAATGTTGCTCTGTCAGCAAAAGCATCAAATAAAAAAACTACCCTGTGACTACAGTTTAAAATAGCTTTTTTTTTTACTTTTAACATTGTCATTAATTAAACCTGTTCTCATTCTGTCTCACATCCTCCAGGACACACACGCATATAAAAATAGAGATTTAGCGCGCACACACCTGCGTAGCTGTTGGCCTGTGTGAGGAGCTGAGAGCAGGCGTGGAGGTCAGCGAAGGCTCGAATCCCCAGGCAGTTTGAGGGGTGAAGCTGAGAGCTCAGGAACTCACAACAAACCTTCTTCACCTCGTTGAGCTGGAGCAGGCCGGCGGCGGGTAGCAATGCCTGGCAAACACACACAGAGAATAACCTGTATAAAGGGGAACTTCAGGTACTAAACAATGCATATGATCACAGGTTAAATCACCCAAAATAACCTGCTTGTTACTGCTACAGTTGAGTGAGAATATGAACTTCTCCACTCAAGACTTCTCTAAATACAATTCTGTTTAGTTTAAATATTTTCATTTGTTCAAACAGAGTGGATTACCCTGTAGGCAAGGGAAGAGTTTACAATTAGTTTTTTGCACATGATCAAGTGAAACAAAAAGACACTTCTAATCTGCAGTGATTGTTTATAGTGATCTGATTGTTCCCAAATCTCAGAAGCATCAGTGTGATCATGAAAACAAATCCTTATTCAGGGTTTACTGTATTATACTGCTGAAAGAGCCTGATAACTAGACCATGGAAGTATATATGTTTCGTCTATATGCCTGTGCAAGGAAAAGGTTTGGGCAGGAAAATGAAACATTAAAAGTCACGAGAGGAAATAAAATTTTCATTCAGTTAATTATTGTGAAATGTTGTTTACTGAAAACGTCACTGAATTGGTTGCGTGTATATATTTTATGAACCATACTACTTGCCTAATTTTGGCGTTTGAATATTTTCATTTTTGTTAGGACCTCATTGTACTATATTTAGACTTTACTATATATGTGCGATCTTTCCACTATGTATTACATCAGCTGCTCTTTTCCCTCTGGATAAATAAAGTTTTATCTTATCTTATTATTCATTAAGTGGATTGATTTCTGTTCAAACAGGATGTTGGAGCAAGGCACAGAACAGTTAGGGATCAGTCGGAAATAGCAAACCAATTGGTTTGGTTATCAATTACGGAAAAATCTGTTTAATTAAATAGGGTTTGAAATAAGCAATAACTTCGATAACAACTTTATTAGTTGGATGTTTGGTTATTAAGTAACCACTGAAGATTTATAATTGGTTTATTAAACATATAACAACAAAGGTTATGTTTCCATTTCATAAAAGCAGTAAAGCTTTGTAAACGATGTAATTATTCAGATAAATGATTATGTGAGTATATTTGAATGTGTGTGTTTACCTGCACGTTATCCTCCGTGACCTGTATCTCTGCGGTGTAGATGTAGTCCACCAGCAGGCCCAGAGTCCAGCCGTCCATCTCCTTTATCCTCACTCGTTTCGCCCGGCTCTCTGCCATCTCACCTGTTGGTGCACTCGTGTTAGACATACATTACCACAAAGTACAAAAAACTGAAACTGAAACAAAGGATGCAAAGACCCTGCTGTATGAATGGAAGCGCGTCCTCACCTGTGAACATGGCATGGAAGTAAGGGCTCCCGGCAGCCAGCACCACCCTGTGAGCAGCGATCTCCACATCCTCTGCCACTATGGTCACATCACACAACAAGCTCTGGCTGTATGGGCATGGAAGAGATGGAGAGGTGAGAGGTCACAACTACAGTTTTAAAACGTGGTACCCTGAAAGAGACACAGACCTAAAGAGAAAAAGTTAGCTTCACCTGCGCAGCTCGTTCATGACTTTGAACGCCTTCCTCATGTGCCGGGGGTTCAGAGTGACGGGACCCTGCCTCTCGACGCCATCTTCTTTGTCCAGAGAGTGTGGACAAAGCCTGGTGCACCTGAGAGGGACACACATAAGGCAAACATAAGTATGTGGCTCTCTTTTACATACGGGAGGTAAGTATAAAATACAACATGGTGACCTGATATGAATATAATATAACTATTATAATTGGCTAATGTAAAAATGTAATGTATTAACAGCTCAAAGTATCAATACATATGTATAGGGTCAAATACAACAATTAAAACAGTTGACACAAGGAGCAATTAAAACAAAATCATAACGTTTTAAGGAGATTTAATTTTTTTTTAAATAGGATATTACTAGTACTAGTACTACTTTTACTTTGGTATTATGTATCACCACCCTATGAGAAGAGAGGGTTTGGCTTCCAGGTAACCATTTAATAAAGACTCAACCAGCACTCCTACACTCACAGAAATGAATCATTGTAAAGTTTATTTTTAAGCATTTAAATCTATTTGATTTTATTTAAATACTCATATTTTTTAAATGTATGTATTGAAATTAATTATAATCTGTATAATTCCTGTCAATTCTAAAATATATTGAATGTAATTACTTAGAGGTTAAACAATAGCACATGAATAACAGTAACTGTCCCTAGCATTTATGTGAGTCACTTGGTTTAGGAATATGCTTCAAGAGGGCTCAGTATAACTTAATATATAATGTTATAGATAATGTGTTCTGAAAAGGAAACCTCTACAAGACAGATTAATCAAATTGCCAATACTAATTTGCACACAGTGAAATTGGGGCCTGAATGATAAACCCGCCTTAACCTAATCAAGTGGCCACTAACTGTAACTCTCAATGTGTATATGATTAATAGATCAAAAAGTCCATCATTCAAAATCATACTGCAGTAACATATTTCCAGCTAAATGTAAAGGAGGAAAACAAAAGTAAGTCAAATTAATTATTATTTATTGCAGTATTTTATATTGTTATTTTTTGTTACTGATATGAACTAGCATTAACATTTTGTAAAAATAGAAAATATATCATTCAGCACGACAGCCCATTGATAAACATTATAGGTTATATCATTTAACAATGATTATTAATGTGTTCACTTCTATAAGGTCGCAGCTGGTAAAGGTGATGCTTATTTTTATATATATATACTGCAGGAGCTTGTGAATTTCAACAAGGGATCAATTAAGTGTATCTTTATTCATAATACATGTTTTGTTGATTTTTATTTTTGCATTAACCTGATTCTGAATTGTCATAGTAACTAAAGCTTTCAGATGAATTTAATGGAATACAATGTGGAATATTTGACTTAGAATTGGGGTGCAGTAGATGTATAAATGTAATAAACATACGAAGTTTAAGTGGCAGGAACAGGAAATACTCAAGTAAAGTACAAAATCATCAAAAGTTGTAAAATACTTGAGTAAATGAATTCAGTTGCTGTTCACCACCGGTCATAACTACCTAAATCCCACACAAACCTGTAGCTACTTTCCAAACTTTGGTGTAAAACAGCAGAAAGAGTAATAAATCAAGTATCCCAAATTCAAGTAACTCAAATGTATAACAATGTATTTCCTTTATCTCCATCACTGTTCAGCAAACACTAATGGCCTCTCCTTTCATAATAAAACATCCTATAATCATGCTGCTAATGGCAAAATCACGTGGCCCATGTTTTCTGTAACAAACACACCCACACACACATGGCTACATGACACACATGCCATAAACAAAAAACACCTCGGTAATAATCCCAACATTATTCCACAAACACACATCCAGCCTGTGCTGCAGCGGGCAGGCTCGGCATCAGCCCCCGGGAATCAGTGACTGTCCCCCCGATCAGCCACACCGGCTGGCCGCTGTCTCTGTCAATGCGGCACCATCAGTCAAGCAGCCACTGGGAAACGTCAAAGTACACACACACGCACAATCACACATATTTGAGCACTTACAGCGGATGACTGTCCATGATTCCGGTGTTTTTCAGAGGCTGAAAACTTGGCCCAGCGGCATGCACCATTCCATATCCACAATGTCGTCTTTAGTGGGTCTAAATTCAAGCGTGAATCGCGGCGATCAGCTGTCCAGAGGCGGGGAGACGGGCTGACGGCAGCCCCATTAAATCAGCCCGATTCACATACAGACACAGCCAGACTGCGGTGACACTCTGTAACAAACACGTTGCGATTACACCCGGCTGTTGTAGCCTGCAGTCTGCTTCTCCTGTCGGCACCCACAGGGGGAATAACACGCAGGAAGGGAGCAGCGTCAAAATGTGGGTTGTTGTGCTTTATTTTCCCCCCTCTTCCCCTCCTGGGTGTAATATGGGTGCGCGAGGCGGACAGACAAGGCTACCTGATATTTCCCAATCGCTGATTAAAACGCACAAACAAGGACATGTCGGCAAAGACGGTCCTGAGCAGCCAAGGCGGCCTGCAAGAAAGCACTGTCTCCCTCTAGCCGTGGAAGACTGACTGGGGAACAGGGTCCCAATAATATGAATATAATATTGATAAATACATGAATAAACTTGATTTATAAATCACCTTTTATACAAGAAATGCAGCCATTTGTTTATGTTCTAGCTATAGAGATTCATATTTTAAAGATACAAAGTATTCATATTTAATATTTCACCCTGTGCCCCATCTACCAATCTAGTAACATAAAGACTCATTGTGATTACACAATAGTCAAAAACTTTGACCACTAACTCAAATTATTATTATGCAAGTCAACCTGTCTGTCATTTTCTTTGACTTAGTGTGCATTCAATTTATATATTAACATTATCTCATACTTTGGACTTCACATAACTATGATTTGTTATCTTTGACTTGGTAACTTCATATATTGATATAATCCATTCAAAGTTCAACATTTTTGTCAGTCAACATTTTGACTTTTTGTCATCATGAGTATTTTAATTTTTGGAATGTAGACACTCTTTCAATTAATTCCTTACTTTATTTCCTGGATAAAATGGGCTTCCATTGGGCAAATCTTAAACTAGAGGATGTATATTAAGAGTTTTTAAAACTACAGCTGATTTAGTTCCATCTCAATAAAACACTATATAAAAAGAAGGAAAGCCCATCTGTAGTAATGCAAATGCAGTGATAAATCCACGGTACCATTGTCTATTCACGTGGAGACCACCGACCCGTTTTACAAGAATCTTTGTCCCTGCAGCCCATCTGTGCAGCTCATCGTCTGCTGCAGCGTCAGTGGACAGGCGTTAGCTGTGGAGAACAAGTCTGTTGTGGTGTGAAGGCGCTGAATACACAGGCTGTCAGGAGGCTCAGTCATGGCTTTCTGAAATAATTTCTCTGTCATCATTACCTACAGAAAATACATGGATCATTAACTCTGTTAGCAGGTTGTTCTTCACCCGTTATCTCAAGAATCTACCTTGACATTTATGATAAATGTGGATAATGAAATTATGCAATATGGTTATTTCAATTTTGCGAGAGATGTTATTCCAGCTGCACACTCCCATATAGGCAGGATTTGGTGAGGGGTACTTCACTGTTTTACATTTCCATACAGTTTGGGGACTTTTAAGCAAGAGATTAATTTGAGAAATGCTGCTGCTGTAGGGAAGCAGCAGAAGCTAGGCTAAGGATTTTAAGTCTTGAGAATTGGTTGCGCAAATACGCTTTCAGTGCATAACAACATCAGGGTTTATTTTTTCCAGCTTCTCTAAAGCCACAAGACATCAAACAGCTGTGTATGGAGAGTACTGCTCCTCATGAACTTTTTACAATTGGTGGAATTTAGGCCTCGATGAACAAGTCCCATGTGAAATTTGGTTTTGTTCATTTCAAATCCATTTGATTTTGAGTTTGGCATTATATAAAACTAAGAAGAGCAGCAAATCACCATATTTGAGATGGAAAAATTACATTAGGTATTAATTGATTATCATGATAGTAAGTGAATATTTTTCTGTTGATAAACTTAATGTGCAGCTTTAGATGGAATGACCCTTCACAATCTGTTTTCAAACAAAAAAATAATGCCGTAACTGTACAACAAGAAACACATAAATAAGACTTAAGCCCAGAGTCAAAATACTCAGAAATTTTTATTTTTACAGTAAAAAGACAGCAACAAAAATATTTACATAAATCAAAATACTGGAAAAAAAGTTGACAAAAAAACTAAAAATCTATATTGTGATATTCCGCACAGCTGAGCAGTGACAGCAAACAGTTCCTGGGTTTTCTCATAGGTTGACACTTGACAGCAGGCCTGACGTGGCGTACATGGTGTGTTCTCTTCTTTATAGCGTTTAGGTATATTAGGTACAGTCACATTTGACTTCTGTCCTGCAGATATATTCACTCCGTATCCCATGTACTTCGAATAATGCCAGTATGACGAATGCAAACAGGTGTTTCAGTGATATCTCAAGACGGCTGCAGCTCACTTGCAGGTCAAAGTTCAACATCACCTTCTGGGAATGGAAGAAATATAATTAACAGAGGACATATGTGATTGCCCCATGGTGTGTTAATTTGGTTTCAAAGGGGCTGGCGGCAGGCTCGCAGAGGCCTGCTCCAGAAAGGCAAGCGGTCCGGGGGGAGGAAGGTCGGTGGGTTTGCGCTGCTGAACGCTCACATCCTCCAGCACTTGCTGCCAGTGGTGAAGCTTGGACAAGTGTTTCTGAACCAGTAACTCTTTCCTCTGAAGCTCATTACGTAACTCTGACACATCCTGAAGTGAGGAAAAAAATGTATGTGAGAAGAGAGAAGGCAGTCACAAATGATGACAAATAAATAATACCTAAACACTGACAGCATATCACAAATGCTAGTTTTAAGAAATTAAGGAAATTCTGTTAGCCTGGATACAACACATACAATGTTTTGGAGTTTGGGGACACCAAGGGTTTGTTTTGCGCTTGAACAAATAATTTCCGGATCAATAAAAAACTTGAAAAAATATCAAATAAGAAATAACAATGCATTTATCAGAATAATAATTTACCTCTTTTACCACCTGCTCTGGTTTCTGCACAGACAACTGAAGCCTTTTCTGTAAGAAGAAGCACTCGGTCTGTCGAGCCACGTCCAGGAACTTCTGTATGCACTGGTCAACACCTGCAAACAAAAGACAAATATATGTATTACTACACAGATACACCTTTTTAGGTATAAATAATTAAACATGAAAGCTTCACTCACCAGTTCGAATCTCCTCCTGGTCAGTTCCATTAACGTAGTCTTGGCTAACCAGAGATGCAAAACATGCCTAAAGAATAAAAGCAGAGAGAAAACATGAGTAACTTCCTTTGTCTCAATGAGTTTGAGATGTTGCACATTAGGGTGCAATGACAACCAGCAACTACTGAAGGATAAATGCTGTTTTGACATGAACTTTTGGTTGCGCATGGAATGATAGCTGCTTTCTCTTTAAGTAATTGGGAAGAGAAACATACACATTCCCGGACGTAATACAGCTAGAGTAGACGACAATTAAGTAATCTTTGGGATAGTGAATATTTAAATACCAAACCTGGTCTTTAGAGTACATGGCTAAAACGGTATTGATATCTGAACATTACACTCATACAGTATACGATTGATGAACATCTCAAAACCCTGGACATTGATAAGCTCAAGTTCTCTAAAACCAAGAACACTTTTTTTTACAGAGATGAAAAAGCCAGCAGACAAAATGCTGTGTTCGAGAGCAGGTATTCAGTTTCATGGTGCCACAAAAGACTACAAGGGAACACACTCTTCGAGGGCTATTAAATGTAAATGTAAATCTAGAAACTAGTATACTTGATCATCAGTTACTACTATTTTATATGTTTTAACTCTCTTACAAGCAGGATGGGAAATAACTTTTGTGTACACCTAAATATAGCATATACCAGCCCCAAAGAGATTAGAACGATTTTCTGGCTCTTGAAGCAAATATAGCTGCGACTTTAGCAGCATTTGGCTGGTGCTCTGAACATCATGAATGGGGGGAACTCCTAAAGTCTCTAGTCTCATAAAGAGACAGTTTTATGGAAAAGTGTGACTTTTTTGTGTTGGAGAAGGACACTGGAGCAGAGCTGGGGCTGTCGTGTTCAAAGTTTAATATAGCATTAGTTTATTTATTTTAACGTCATCTATTATTATAATAAGTTATACAAGTATTATATTCAATATGAGACATGGTTGAATAAGAAATCAATTGTTTCCCTCTGAATCTCATGTGAGACTGCAACACTAGCAAATTAAACACAACGTTATATCTGCACAAAGTAAATGAGCTAACAACAGTTAGCACACAGCTAAAGGAACTAGCATAATAGCCCCCTACCTCAAACGAAGCTTCCAGTTCGTCTACCAGCGTGTTGTTCCCCGGGGCTCTGGCAGCGGTACCGGGGAAGCCCGGCTGTCCCGGTCCACCAGGACCTCCGACGGGATGAGCAACGGGCGGCTGCTGACCAGAAAACATCCCACTCATGGACGATGCCATCTTCTGCTGCCCGCTCTACACATGCGCAGTGAGGTGGACGTCTTTGCACATGCGCAGTCGGAGGATGTTTCTCTGTACCCTCTTGGCCAAAAGTTTGCGGACACCCTGTTTTCATATTTGTGGTTGGTCTAAGGTTGTTTTCATGGTTTGATTGGTTTAAATTAAGTCTTATCTTGATGCTTCATCAGCACACAACATATATTAGACCAAGGGTTTCCAACCTGGAGGTGAAGACACTGATAAAATGCTTTATATTTGCACGCTTTTCTCTAGGTGTCTGGATTTTAAGATGACACAATAACTTTGTATATCTTCCTGACAGCCATTGTAAAGTCATGATAACTTCCTACTCCATAGTACCTGAAATCTGCGTGGGTTACGTAATAAAAGGCTGATTGAATGTCCCTGTCCAAAAGAAACACAAATAATTGATTATGGGTTTATTTTATACAACATATAAATTACATTTGTGAACCTGGTTGTATCCATAGAGCTTCAGCTGAAATCACAACAGTGTGGGGAAACACTGAACTGGTCATACATTGTGACCTATGACATTGATGCTTTAGCTGTAAGTAGACATTGAAGTCACAGATTGGTTTAAAAAATATTGAGCCCTTCAATAGAAACAATATTGTTCATATGTACACAGACTTCTTGACTTGTTGAATCTGGCCAGTGATGAACAGTCAGAGAGTTTTGCGTACAATCTGATATTTGTGTCAATCTCTCAGCCTTTGTGGACCAGTCCGGCAGCAAACTCCACTAGTGTGCGGGTTGGTCTTCCAGACATGCCTTTCCTCAGGTAGGGAACTTCATCTTTGTTACTCATCACTCCTGCGATGTCCAGATGAGCCCAATGAGGAGCAGTGACAAACTCTCGCAGGAACGCAGCTGCTGTGCATGCACCGCCAGAACTAGAAAGATAATAAATCACACACGAGTCATTGAAAAAGCCATGAGTATTGTCCTGGGCCCTGTTCACAACTAATGCATGCTAACACGCTGTTATCAGGACTTAACAATGCTGTTAATCCTCAATCAGCTATTTTGTCAATCCTGGATGAAGTTATCTTGAGTAACACTGGGCTCTTATTTAGAAGAAAAATACATAATGATGGGTTAATCGTTTAATTTTAAGATGGAAAAAACTCAAATTTTACGTGTATATTTGTGTTGTTTTAGGGGTCTTCTGTTTTGTGTTCCACAATGTTTCCACACTTTCATCAAAAAAATGTCCGCAAAGTCAATTCTGCAGTTCGTCTCAGAATTTAAAGCTAAATAAATTCACTTTTTATCAAGATAAAAGTAAATCTTAATTATGAAAATGTAATTGAGATTTTACACCACCAGATCATAGTGACTTGTCAATGATCTGCATATTATCATGTAAAATCCTAAATTAATCATTATATAGATATTGGTATACATATATTATGTATATAATATATCTTTCACTATAAATCTTAGAAATATGTAAGGAGCTGCAGGCCTCGCTGAGGGAAGGGAGAGAAACGTACCGGCTGTACGTCCCGACGTTGTTGAGGTCAGCCAGCTGGCAGTCAGTCACCTGTCGGGTGTAATGCTGGAACAGAGGCATCCTCCACACTCTGTCACCTGTCACAACACTAGCCTTCATACACACAGAGACACACACAGACACACACAAAGACACATTCCATTAGTCAACACAGGAGCTGATAGACTGAGATGCCGAGTATGTTTATTGTTCTAACGCAGTACCTTCTGCAGCTGCTCCCAGAGCCAGTCAGAGTTTGTAAACACTCCCGTCGCTGCTGAGCCAAGAGCTACATCGATCGCACCTTTGAGACAGGAAAAAACACATTTTATTATTGTTAAATTATCTTGGCATACGGCAATACCAGCCTGACATGGCTTTCACACATTTTTGCTCATTTCAGTTGGTTAGTTAAAATGTGCAAATAAAATCCCAGTCATGCAACACTTTTTCTGCACCTTATAATTTAGCTTTTCTGGTGTCATTAACACTTAAACATAAAATGAACGTCATATGTCCTTATTTATACAATGGTAACTGGATACTTAAAAAAAATCCCACCTGTTAGCGTAGCAACATTGACGATGGCTCTGGGGTTGAAGGTGTGTCCGTAGCACAGAGCGTCTGCGAGAACCAGTCGGCCCTCTGCGTCTGTGTTATCAACCTGTACAGAACAACAATACAAACCTGTTCAAGTAGACGCTCATATTTAAGTACGCAAACACATCACACTCAAGTAACTACTGTATTTGCTCTACCCACCTGGATTGTTTTTCCATTTTTGGCCACAACAACGTCACCTGGTTTAGTAGCTTTTCCACTAGGCATGTTCTCACAGAGGGGAGCCAGACCTGATTTATTGTCAAAGGGGAAAACAGACAGATTGTTTTGACTAAAGAATAAGATTAACATGTTGTAGGAAAAGACAAGAATCAGGCAAAAACAATCTAAACCCTTTAGAGGGATCTTTTTTAGGCATTATGAAACCATGACATGACCAAAATCTCTGTTAGATCAAAATGTTGAACAGTTAAAAAAGTTTGAAGGAATTTCAGTGTCCAGATATTTTCTTTAACTCTTCATTTAAACATTACAAAGGTTTTTTTCATATTCAATCAAAAAATGGTGCATTCAAATGTATTCACAGTTAGTAAAATATTTTTTAAATCCACTTCGGCAGGCATGGGGCGTCTGAAACTCGACCAACAACCAATCACATGAATCTCCCGCCCCGGACACACAAGCACGCGGTTTGATTGGCTAGAGCTTGTACTGGCATCATACTTGCCAACCTTGAGACCTCAGAAATAGGGAGCATTTCCAAAACTTGAACATTGCGAGCAACGCGAGCAACGCGAGCAACGCGAGCAAAGCGAAGCGACGGAACCACAATGCAGTTCGGCAAAGCGTGACGTCACCCCATTCAAAGTGAATGGGCAGAAGTGTTGAAGCTTCAACACACGCCGCCGTGTGGACGGGCCGTTATTAATTAAATACATGTTTCAATCATGATCTATGATAGAAAAAATATATTGGAGGATGCATATAATAAAAAAGGCTCACCAATAATGTTGACGGGCAGCTTCAGAGCTGCTGCTGTGACGATAGAAGCACACACAGTGGCTGCTCCCCCCATATCAGCTCTCATTGCATCCATAGAAGGAGACGGCTTCAGGGAAATACCACCACTGCCAGCAAACAGAGAAGGAAAAAGACAACATTAATGTGAAAGTTTTTTTCTGTTTTGATGGGCTAATGAGCTTGAGTTTGTTTTGTTATGGTTAACCTGTCAAAGGTGATGCCCTTGCCCACTAGGAGCAGCGGGGCCTGCTTGCTGTCCGGAGAGCCGTTGTAGTGCAGCTCCAGGAAGACAGGGGGCTCCTCTGAACCTCGAGACACACTGAGAAACGCTCCCATCTGTTGCTGCTCTATCCAAGCCTGAGATCTACAGAAACAAGCGATTTATCAGACATAACAACTTGTATCTGCTTTCAATGGTATAAAAAAAAATCAATCATCGGATAAAAAGAGTTGTCCATATAATTTCATTTCTTTTCTGGTTTACAATCATTTGGTTGGTCTCAACAAAACTGTTTCTTTAAGCCAAAAGTAACATCTTGAAATACAACAAACACCAACCCCCAAAAGACATTCCAATTACTATGATATAATAAAGAATAAAGCAGAACATCTTTACAATTGAGAACAGGAACTAGAGGTTTAGTGTGTTGGTTTGAATCGATTATCAAAATAGAAGCCTTTAAATGTTTTGTCCTCTGACTTAGCAATAAATCCCAAAAATGTTTCACCTGTAGATTGACGAATCAAAACACTTTATTTTACATGTATTTGTTGCATGCCTTGTTGATTATTTCTGTCATCATTGCGACACTAATTAATGATGAATGACGAACAAACCTCTTATGTATTGTGACTCGTTCAGCATGCGGTGCTAGTTTTTTTTCAATCGTGTTGGCAAAAGCTGTTGGAGTAATGTGATTGGCTGGAGCCTCCATGAGCATCCGTGCCAGGTTTTGGCCTTCTGCGTACGTGACTCCTTTCTGCCAACCGGCCGAGTCAGCACTGAAAAAAAATACAAACAGATATATGTATTGGCATAATGCCGCATTCATCTGAAATAACTAAACTGTCATATTTCTATCAATAACAGTCAGTTTGCCCTAGCAATCTTCTACAGCCATTTATTAGTCTACCTTCCATGAAGCTGTGTGGTTACTTTGTTCTTCTTCTTGGATTTGAGTTGGTCATACTGGAACAAACCCAGACCGGCGCCTTCTGCTGCGGACTGGGCATCCCCACAGCCGTCCACCTCCACATGCTTCACCTCCAGGTCCTGAAGCAGCCGGCAGCCAGCTGAACACACACACACGCACACACACACGAGTCAGGCAGTAAATCCTCCATGTAGTCAGCACATGGCAGCAGAGTCACGTGTCTTACCTGACATTGCCTGTCTGACGTTCTCCTTGCTGGTGTCCCAGTTCTCTGATCCACACACACCGGCAGTGGTTTTACCCAGCCCGACTACTGCCACACATGGGAAGTCCTGAAGAAGACACAAGGACGATTTTATTACTCTAGAGTAGATTTTGCAGAAAAAGACAGGGTTTTCTTAATCTACTTCCATGCTTTCTTACCTTGTGGATTCCATAGAATATTCTGCTTTTGCCTTGCTTAAGAGTGGGTCCAGAGCTAGGAATAAAAAAACAGAAACAGTTACTTTTGCGAAAAATAGAGGTACAGTGTTTCCCACACACTTTTACTGTTGCTATTGCACTACCTCATTTTACATATGTTTACATGACATATATTTGTATTTTGTATCAGACCATTACATGTATAATGTAATTGTCACATAACTAGACTAATTCTGTCAGCTCACAGATATTAAAAACTCACATTTTAAGCAGTTCAGAGAGTTTTCCGGACAGGGTTTGGTCAAAACCTGCAGCTGCTTCTGTCAGATGAAGGCCACCCTCCTCTCCCTCCTTCTCAAACACTCCCAGCACCAGACCCTGCAGACATGAACACAATAAGGAACCACATCAGTCCAATAAAATGGTCTTCATCACTTTTAATTGCCTATAATGTGAAATATAAACAAAGATGCTCTGTCTTCAGTTCAAACCATGAATGTGACTGGATATTTGCAATATATTCGAAGCTAATAAAATACTTTGAGAGGATAGTAAATGAAGTAACTAGTAAATAAACAAAGTTTTGAGCGTTTTTGAAACACATCCACACACTGATGCTCTTACAAATAAATACATAATCAAAACACACACATCTGAATGGGTTAAGCCGAAAGTATGAAATGGAGATAAATCCTGTGTTAGAAACTGATGTAACTGTCAGCTAATGTTGGACAGATACTCACCTTTCTCTCGCTCAGGAGAGTCTGTGACGCAGAAAAAGACCTCCCGTGTTTCCCCGCCTGCACGGTCCTCCTCAAGAGAAGCATTGTTATCTGTTGTTCATATATAAAGCCAGAAAATATATTAATACAGAGATTTAGAGGTCGCATGCATGAGGAAAAGGCAATCTCGACCTGATAGCGTCGCGGTTTTCAAACGTCACGAACTAGAACAAAGAGGGAATTTGTCGCCACCTGGCGGCAGAAGCGATGAGCAGCAGGAGGTTTTAAATAAGCTGTTAAACAGCGGCATAAACCTTCACTCAATACATCTCTTTTCACCATAGGCGTTCACTTTTTGAAATGGCCAATTTTGTCCCCAGCACTTTTTAAAAGTATAACTTATAAATGTCATAAACAAGAACACTGGTTTAGTGTCAAGATGTGCAATTTGGACATGTTAGTACTTTTAATAGAAAATGTAAAAATAAAAACATTGCTCCCACTTTGCAGCACTAAAGCCGTAGATTAAACAGCAAACGGCTGAATAATGTGCATACAATTGCGAGGAGGCTCAACTTAAGGAACATTTACAAATCTGGAAAATGTTTTGTATTGGAATAAACTTCTGGGTTTTTATGTTTTATTCCTACAGAATACATGGTGAAATGATAAGATGTGTTTTGTCAGTATAGTACTATTTTATAAAAACATTCTCTGTTGTTCAAGTGTCTGATACTTGATAACCACGAATACAAAATACGTACACAATTACAAGTAATGATATGATATAGTCAGACACTGTTTTTTTTCAAATCAAGCCTAACGAATAATTTGTGAAACACTGTCTTGACGCACTTGAATTGCTCCTTAGAATGTATTTTTCCTGTGGTTTTCTATGCAATACATTTTTGTATTGTAATGCCACTCGTATTTTATTTATTTGTGTATTGTAAAGTGACATTGAATGTTTTGAAAGGTGGCCTCAAATAAAATGTATTATTGTTATTGTATCTCTGCCTCTCTCACAATGTTAATGTTCTTTTTTTCGATAAGTTTAATCCTGGTGTCAATAGGGAAGATCTGCACGGTTTCTCTACAGCCCACGTTCAGCAGAACAGGTGGTGCAACTGCCTGGTTTTGCACCCCAACTATAAATTTATCCAGGGTTTTCGTACACTCACCAAAATCACATTGGTGTTTGCTGTTCACTTGTAGTTTGTGCACACAAAAGCATTTTACTCTGGACTCAGCAGGTGAAAAACTAAAGAGGGGCTTCCACATGTGGCAGACCGGGCGTTGGTGCTGCCGGATTTGGCACCCCCACTAAGAAATCCTTACTGGCTTAAAACATGATTATTGCAAGTTTTGTGAAAATAATATTGAATATATTAGTAATATTGCTGTGTTTTCCTTTTGTGCCGTAAGGATATAAATACAGAGGATATCGTATGATGTACAGATTGTAAAACCAACCCGAGACAACTTTGTTATCTGTAAAGTTGTGCTTTGTGATTAATTGTAATAATTATATTACTTTAGAAAACAAATAAAAACATTTCAATACAAAGCTTCAGATCATGGGAAGATAATAACAACAATAAAACACATAGACAATAAGATGAAACACATACTCCAGGTTATTATTTAATGGATGTCTACTTTAAATTTCTGTTTGTCACAAGCTTTTAGCATCCAAGACTTTATAACTAATCTAACCGGTGTAATGACTTTTTTTTAACAGCTTGTGAATTCACTTCATAACGGACAAATCAAATCAAAGGATCATTCTTAGTAATGTTCTTTGGATTTGATTTATGACATAAAACCAAAACTCCCCATTATTCATGCATACTTTACACTTTCTATAGAATAATACTGTAAAAACTGACTTGAAAATGATTAAAGTGACTGGAAAACACAGTTAATGACATGCTATACATATAATGACAATAATAATGATTTATTTAAATTGTGCAGTTATAAAGGATGTCCAGAATGCAGAAGAATGATTGGGCTGCAGGAATTTGTGCATTCATTAAGTCTGAGTAGCACTGTCCACAGGGTTGGTTTTACTGTCAGTCATTGTGTTTTGCTCCAGTAACCACCAGTAAATGCTCCTCTCTCAGTCCCTCAGTAAAGCAGGTCCAGAGAAGAGATGGTGGGTTCTTCAGGTTTCTTAATCTCTGGTTTGGGCAGTTTGATCCGGCTCATTGCAACCACTCCACATACGGCAAAGTGAGTGGCAATGCTGCCCACACCCAGCCAGAAGGACCAGTCCAGGCTGTCGTCCAGCACATCCAGCACGAAGAGGTTCTCCCGATGATTGGCTACTCGCTCCGTCAGACTGTGGTGCTTCACAGCTGCCAGGAAACACAGGAGGCCCAGGGAAGCAAAGAAAGCTGAAAGAAAATATCCATATAAATGTTACATTTAACCTTTTCTTTAAAGTGACCTGGCCAAGAGGGCAGCACAAGCTTTTCTTTTGCAGAAAAACCCAGAAACTAAACAAACGGACACACTGTTACACTTTGAATTAGCACACTTTCCAGCTTAGGCAATACAAAAATAGTTTTAATTCACAAACAGCTATCATTTTCATAAGCGATTTTGATAAAAACACGTAGAAACAATCACTTTGAATCTTCTCTTTTTTCCCCTCAAAATTGACTCAAATCACCCCTTAGTAATCAGCTCGGACAATTTCAGGTCCTTCTACCCTATTTTATGAACAAGACAGAAGAGATAGAAAGGCGATTTAACTGGACGATCAACACAAATTGGGCCAAAGAAAAAATTGAAGAAATGAGAATGGAAATCAGCAGCCAAAGAAATAAACTAATAATTAAAGGGTTTTCTTTGAGAGAATAGTAATAGGCTTTCCCCACATACATACCGGCAATGAAGTTCCACAAGTAGAGTCCTTTGTGCCCTTTGATGCTCTGGTAGGGAACTTTCCGTGCGTTGTAGATGCAGAAAGACAGACTGACCAGAGCAAAGCCCACAGCCACCAGCAGGAAGAGGATCACCATCATGTGGAGGCCGCTGTTCAACGTCCGCACCAGATTTGGGAAAACTGGAGAGACAGGAAACACAGATAAAAACAAACTTTATCAGGTGAGTGAGCTGAGCTTGTCAATATGAAAGTGAGTGAAAAGGTGTGGATGAGGTATTTCTCTGTTTCTGTGCAGGTGTATAACTAAGGGTATTATTGCTGTTGATGCAGCAGGTAATGCATGTGTATTAACATAATTAATAAACTTTAAATAATAGTTTTACTTTTATTTACAGTATTAGTTCCCAATAGCATAGTAAAATTGTATATTTGATGTATTTTTTTAATATTTCAATAAATAAATGTCTGTTTCTTTACTTATCGATATCATATACATTTTGGGTGAAGTTGAACTAATAATAATAATAATAATAATAATAATACAGCAAAGAGTCTAGAGACAAAGTGTTTTATGCTTCATGGTTGAAACAGGAATAAAACAAATTCAGGACAGCAATAAAGTAAAATCAGAAAAATATAATAACAGAAGTTGAAATGGAAATAAAAAACCACAAATTAAGTACCCAATATAAAAAGGCAACATTATAAAAACGATAAGACATGTTGGACAAATAATAGTGTGTTTACATCATGATAAAAGTAGGCGTTTCTTCTTAAAAAATGAATAAAATACACTTAACCACACTAGGCTACAGGTTGTTTCTGATCTTACTGTATATTTTGGAGCGCCTGTTGCCAAGCCCGCACTTCTTGGTCTTGCCTCCCTGGAACAAACCGTAGTAAATGTCCCCGATGAACTGCTCCAGCTCCGGGTGGGAAGCGTTTACTATCTCCGCCCCGGTTTTGCACAGGATCCGTCCGGCGACCCAGCGCTCCGTAGATAGAGCCACAACAAGCAGCACCACCGAGCCGACGCAGAGCACCGAGGCCGCCGAGAAGGTTATCCGTTTCCACAGCGAAGGCATCTTACGAGCCCATGGTGCCCGGAGGAAGGTAACACTACACCGGGCAGCGACCGCCACGCACACTCGGCGATCACCATGAGTTTAGTCTGAAGTTTGTAAAAAGACAAATATAATCATTCTCGGATAAAGGACAAGTGTTGTTGTTCCTCTTAGGGCGTCACTGCGGAGTCACTGAGGAGGAGAAACTGAATCTACGGTGGTCAGAGAGATCCGTTACCGGGAGAAACTCTATCCATGCCTGCCTATTCCCCCCCACACACACACACACACACACACACACACACACCACACACAACACACACTCTTTATTCAGGAGAGGTATTAACCTTTACATATGGCCTTTTCAGCTGGACATGTATCATGATTGTTGACCATAAAATCATGCAAGCACAGTTAATGGTGTCAGAGTGATATGATCTATTGAGGGCCTAAATGTCAGAGCATTGGACACCGAGGGAATTAATGAGTTAAACTGAGCTCGATTTATATCCCCACATCTCTCATCTTGTTTATTCCATGCTCTTTCATTAAACATATCTCATATAGGTGGTTTGAAGTAACACATTACTTTAATCAATCATTGTAGTAAGCCTAGTACTCTCTTGAGGTTAGTGTTGTGTACATTTAAAATCCAAATCCAAAATTCCAAATATGTCTTATAATATGCACTACAATAACAAAGATGCAGTGGTTGTCAATGAAAATCTTGGCACTCAATAAACTTTCAACAATTTAAATTAAATTGATTTCAAATCATCTCTTAGATAATAAATAGTGGAAGCTATAATTAAATATTAATATAAATAACATGTAATGCTGCTGCAACACTAACATTTCCCAAATTGGGATCAATGAAGTACTATCTTATCTTATCTTAAAATAAAGTAGCCTAACTTACGCGATGGTAGTAAAAAAAACGGAAAGTAAATAGAAATAAAGTAAATATATAATGTACAAATGCAATTATTTTACCTTTCAATTCAAGATGTGATGTGTGATTAGTTTCATGTCACATTTAACAAATCAACTAAATGAAGGTGTGAAATGTAGTTACGGGGCTTTTGGCGACATCTTCTGGTGATTCAGTGTCACTACAGTGCTTGATGACGTCAGAGCGTGTGACGCAGAGGTCAGTCTCCAGGCTATGGAATGCCAAAAGTGCCATAATTCGCCCGTTTATTTCGCCCGTTTTTTCCGCGCGAACATTTATATAATAATGGGCCCCTCCTTCTGATTTCCATAGCCAATAAGTTCAACGTTTCTGTAACCAATCAGTGAAGAGTAAAGTCAGACCAAAGCGATCTGTAGATGAAAAGTTCCTGACATTGTGAGGCTGTGCTGTGAATTGTACATTATTCCAGATTCAGGGGACTAAGTATTAATTTGCCTTTGAATATAATCAATATATCAATCAATATATCAATATAACCTGCCTTCATTGTCTTTTAAGGCGAGACACGGCAGGCAAAAACATCGTTTTTCAAGTACTGGTCAATTTTGAGATTTTGTGCTATTTTGATTCAATAAATGTTTTCTTTCAGGCTTTTGGAAGGAAAACGTACAAAATACACATTTAAGTGTTTATTTTACTATAGTTTGTCTATTCGCGTCAGTAGATTTCTCCTAAATTCACCAAAAGTTAGCATTCTAACGTAACATAAAGTACTGCGACCGCTGTGTGCACCATGTCAACAGAGATATAGTTGGAAAGCTGTGTCTCTCCTGCACAATCTCATCGAATCCAAATACGATCATTTCCTTTCCTGACAAAGTGATTCGTTCAGATGCGTCACGTGGTGTGCTAAAACACTTCCTGGTTAGCTTTGCGCTAGAAATGTAAATCTCAAAATGGCAAAAGAACGGCGAAAAAAAAGTTTACAGAGAAGACGACAACAATTGTCACTTGCACAAAGCAAGGTTATACAAAAAGCAAATGACCCCGAACATGAAATACCTTCACGGAGTGCGTCGATGCGCAAGCTGTCATCCAAAGAACAGGAGAGTTTAGCTAGCGCCTCACTGCAATCTTTAAAGGTCGTTTTCTCAAAATGAGTTTTTTCTCCTACTCTGAGTTCGAAATGTCAACTTCTGTAGCACGTAGATACACCAAACCTTCCAGTTATATTCCTATCAATATTATGAAGGCTTTTAAAGAAGGGTTTGTTCATATATCATTCATAGCCTGAATTATACAAAATTGTATACCTAAAAACATGTGTTTCAGATTTGGTTTACCAAAGTCTTTGGTTCACAAAAGTAGTGAAATATATGAATTACACTATAGGCCTATATAAATGTGTTGTTCATGTCTAAAATGAAAATTTGAATTTCGAGTAAAATAGTTCTATCACTTTCACCACAGAAAAGTTACATCAGGGCTGATTCATGACTTCATATTCCATACCAAGGTTCATGTGATGTGTACAAATACAAATTGAGCATTACAACTTTTTCAACCAACTAGTTGAAAAAGTTGTAATGCTCAATTTGTATTTGTACACATCACATGAACCTTGGTATGGAATATGAAGTCATGAATCAGCCCTGATGTAACTTTNGTTTACAACTACAAAAATAATCGATTTCATCCGACGGAAGGAAATTCAGCAGCTCTCACTACCGATTTTTAATCCTAATTTAATCATCATCTGCACCACGATCATTTATGTTTATGTTCGCCGAATTGACATGAAAGCACTGACAAATATGAATATACTGTAGTCAACTTCATTAAAACGTTATTAACGTGCCTAAACTCAGTAATTCACCATTTCTACGCATGACAACACACTTTGTCCGTGTTTGGCTCTCTCGCCGCACAGTGAAGCGTTCCCGCATTGACGTCAATTCCGGCTTCCCCCAAAACTTCAAAATTAGTCGAAGGAATTTTCCCGCGATGTTCGAAATTATTGATATTTATCGGAACGGTATCGCATCTTCTTTTTTAAACTGACGGTTCGAGATGACTAGTAGCCCAATATTTCATTGCACAACAGTTGTTGGGAGGCTGTCACAGGCTCTTTAAGAGATCTATGGATACATCTCAACACCAATTTGAAACAGAACTGGAAACAGATTGACTTTTTTTTAATGGATATTTTACTAATCACTCCCCTTTCAAACTTTATTCTTGTTTTACTGTCATAGTATTTTATACCTGTTTTTCATGTATTACTCTTATATTACTATCTGTACTATTATTACATCGTAGCCTTAAAGTTCACAGTTTATTTATAATTACAAAAATAATTTATTTTTTATAAATAAAATACAACGTGTTTATTGGGGGAGGGCAGGAATGTCAAATGGGAGGGCCTGGGTCTGCTTTGGTGGAGTCTGCCATTCCCCTACTACTGGATTGAAACTGGCTACTTGCACACAAGGATCACCAGGAAATGATTAAGCTGGTGTTCCAAAATGACTGTTTTTGTTATTGATATTATTATTTGTTTACCAATTATATAGGCGTCAGGGTTTACTGCTCACTCTCCTAATGATGTTACACAGCTGTAGCGCTGCTAATGCAAATGGGATATTTCCTACTGCTTCACATTAATGGCGTGTAGCTAGGGCATTTCCCTAGGTAGGACATTCTCATTCAGATTTTGTTTTTAGAGAAAACTAAATAAAATTTCCTCTATGATCTTTGTTCCCTCAACATCATAATGTCCTTATACATTGAGTTAAATGTATCTACACTCAAAGAAGGACTGTCGTCACTGAGGTGAAATTAGTGTTGGAAAAAGAAAACTTCTCAATGACAATCTAGAGCAGTATTACAATTTCAGCCATATTTATTAATTAAAAAGTAATTGTTTTGTTTAATTAACATTAATTTAATATTTGTTTTCATGTATTTATTTGTAACAGTAATTTTAGAAAATGTTCTGTCTTGAGCAAAGTTGGCTTTCACAGATGTGCTGTAAGCGGTATCTGTTATCTCTCTGTAAGCTAATGATTATAACTGTAAACATTTAATAGAAAATTAAACTTTACAAACCTGAAAACTTGTCCAGGCCTAGAATCTTGTTGTCATGATCAGGATCACCAAACTCAATGTCTTGTCCCAAAAGGAAGTCTGCGTCTAAGTTGAGGTTTCCTGGAGCTTCAATGGCTACACCATCTTCAGAATCCACTGCAGTCACAGAAAGGAGCAACAACAACACGAGATGATTACTATCATTTCACTGGAGGGTCGGTTTTAATCAATATACTTGAATATTTCACTAATATTGGCACATTTTCAAACATTGGTCGTCTTCTTATGCAAATAAATAAGTATGTGTATATCTTAATTTGGAACCAGACACATGCTAACAGATGAAGGTCTCACTATGTTAACCTTGACTGTTCGAGGCTCTAGCATTCAATTAAATACTACTTTAGGATTAAAAAATAGATAATTTCCAGTAGGCCTGATCAATTATGGCAAAAATCCTAATCTCGATTATTTGGGTCAATAATTGATATCACGATTATTAAAAAAAATGTGAACAGTATGTTTTTAACAGTTGATTACTCTGAACTTTAAGTATAATTCAACTGAAAAACCAATAAAAAAAAATGTAATTAAAAAAAAAAAAAAAAAAGTAATAATAATAATTAAAAATATAATCGTTTTATTTCGATTACGTTGTTTTCGTAATCGTTGCAAGCCATAATCGTAATTGCGATTAAAATACGATTAATTGAGCAGCCCGAATTTCAGGTTAATCAAGCATAAAAAGATGGAGTGAATAAAAAGAAAACTAGCCACGCCAGCCAGAAATCGGGTCTCTATTTAATCCTTTCAGTTCTACAAAAAAAAAAAAAGAGGCTTATTTACTTTCCTGCTGTAACAGTGTAAAAAAACAGCACTTTATGAACAAAGAATGAACTTTGAACAGTTGACAAATGACGCTCTTCTACTGCAGTTACAGCTAATGAGGCCTGAAATCCTAACTCGCTCTCAAGCTTGATGGAGTCCAAACAGCTAGCACACAGCTGTCACTGTTTCAGAAAACTAGCAGCAGGCCAACTCAAGGGCATAGAGCTCATCAGCACTTCTTACGACAACCCTGAGAAACAGCACCATACTACCATCTACTGGTCTTTTTTAGTATATGACAAGATGACAACAATATAAACACCGTAGGAAGTTTATTTTTCCCAGAACTCCATCTTTTCAAATTAGACAAGAGATGACATTCTCTCTTTGATTTGTATAATTATTGTAATGATAACATCTAGTGCGAATATTGGGAGATGAAGAAGTATTCTGCTAACACAACACCTAACCAAATTATGATGTGCGTGACTTGAGAAACTACTTTTTCGTTAGCATGCTGCATGGTTTATGCTGTATAGGTATAGCTAATTTCTAACATACTGATACTTATTTTTGAATCAGGTATTACACAACATACAAGAAACTAAAGAAACAAATAAGCTATCTACATGTTTGTTTACCTTTGTACAGTGTAAGACTTTAAAAAAAATATTGTACCGCAAATTCAACAATCCTTCTTATTGGCGCAGAATGTAACAATGGATTTAACTGCATTGCTAGGCGCAGTCATAGTGGTCTGTATGATTGATGTTAAACATTCAAAATACTCAAACGGCAACACCTGGAGTCCAGATGTGAGAGGGCACGTGTTGTTAACGACCAGGCTATTATTCACAGGGATTTCATTTTTGACCTCACCATGAAGGCCTAGTTACCATATGTCAGTAAAAAATGCATATGTGAGACATATTTGGCCGTAGCCCAGCTATGTATCAACTTTTCAATGTGGAAATGATCTCCGAGTACCTACACTTGACTGGCTGTGGATTCTGTTGTTTTTTTCTTGGCATCTTCCAGAAGGCCTCTCTCTTTTTTGCAACGTCTTTTTGAAGACTTCCACAACCATCAGCTCATTCTCATCAGTTTGGAAGATATTCTTCAGTATTCCTATAGATGCAAGAGAAAATCAATCAAAATTCATTAGTATATACACTCAGAAAAGTACTGTATTGGGCGTGGAACAGGTATATGAGTAAATAAAATAAATATAGAGAACATTTTCTTATTTCCTTTTTTTCAATTAAATGTAACTGGCTGATTTAAATTGTGGAGAGGAAAGTACAAGGTTAACTATGGAGATAATTATTGTTATAAAAATGTGGTTGAAGGAAAGTATTTTGAAAGCAGGGGTTTTATTTGATATTTATCATTATTGTTTTCGTGGGGTCTTCCAATGTATTAAAAAAGAAAAAATGATAAAAGACAATACAAGGTATGATAGAATAAAATCTTGGATCAGGGAATTTGTGGCAGTTTTGCTTAAAAATAACCTTTAAGTGACACATTATTGAAATTGTTACTGGCTATTTTCTGTTGGTCAGCTAACCAATTATTCAACCAATCATTAACCTGCCAATACAATATCACATTATTCAGTAATCATTATGAATAGCTTAGTAATAAGCTATATAATAAACTACTAACAGCAAACGTTACCTTAGTCATTATACTGTTGCTAAGGTAGATTTCTAGCTTCTTAACGTATGTTTAAACCTTAATGAATTCTATGAACAAATAAATCCAGGCAGTAATTTAGTATCAAGTGTCTTACTGCAGTGTATATATCATTTTTCAACAAATCTATGATGTCCTAAATAAGCCAGTGATAAGATATTACGCTGTGTAGTTTATAAAATGACTTCACAGGACACACATTTCATGATGGTGTAATATCTGGACTTGATTTGGTGTATCTACATTGTAAACAAACAATACATCCAGCCATTGCTTGCTAGCAAGCTACTTTAGCAGAATGGCTAACACGTTAGCTCTGGTGCTACAACCGGATAGAAAGCAATCAAGCGAGACTGTTAGCAGTAAAATGAACCATGTCTTCTATAGCATGCAGCTAGCTAATGCTGCCACTGCACAACAAGAAATGACAGCAATATTTGGTAAAACTGACGGAACACAGCCCAGCGAGTGGCTCTACAAAACTCGTCCTCTTCAGTACGTAGTCATGACTGACAAGTGCCATCTTAAGTCAATTAAGCCGAGGGTTAAGATGTTAACCTACAGCTAAATTAGCCGAGCAGCTAATGTCAACTTCACTAGTTAGCCATCAAGCTAACTTACCAAAAAAACGTAAATATCCAGGTCGATTGGGATGGTCTTTATGGTCCGAAAACACGCCATTAGATGCGAAGTGTTTGTCCTCAAATATACTACGTCTGGAGATCCGCCATTTCTTCATGAGCTGCGGCGACAAAGAAAGGCAATTAATGGTATTTTTCATAACTTAATTGATTTTCTTACTCGCCTGTGATCCAGCAGCGGCAACAACAATAACACTTCCGGTATGAATCCTTCAGAATAAAAGCGACATCTTCACCGTTTCTAACGTAAAAGGTAAATTAAGCATAATAACTGCACACATTATACAGCAAATACTCATCTAGAATTACTTGAATGGTAGTAGTGTATTTTAATTCGTACATGTTTAAAAAGAAAAACATGCAAATCCTTAAACTGTATATTGAGGGACGTTGTTGATTTGTAAAGGATGATTGGGTACTATTTGCACCCACAATTCTACAGTATACACCATCATGTAATTCTTACTTGCATTTCATTTAATTGGTATTACTACTTGTTTCAAAATTACAATATTTTGAAATCAATTTTACATTTATTTTATTTATTTGCTTTTTACTCTGAAGGCCAGGGGCGCATACCGGATGTGTTATTGTTGCTGGTGGGATACTTGATCTATCTCTCTTCCGTTGAGTTTGGTATTTCCGTTTCCTAAAGTAATTTCCGGTTGCTATACCTCTATGAAGTTGTAGTTCTTATGCATATTGTAGCTGAAATATCCATGTTATGATCATGTTGGCCTAATTTAATATCACAGTTCTGGGCCTTTGTAAATATAATGTTGTCAGTAGTACAAAAATGTACTTTTTCTTAAAGAAGGGAACTTAAATAGACCAGCAAGCCCACTTAAAAATGATAAATTAAACCAGTAGACAGGATTGATCTGTCAGATTTCAACAAATCCACTTCCTCTAATGCCATTTAAAGCCTGACCGAAATCAGGGCTCTGAGGGAGAGGCACTTTCATCCGTCTCAAGATGGTTTAATATATTTAGCTTATAAAGTACAATTATATCATACAATTGTACAGTATATTCTAGGGAAAATACAAAGCAAGCTCCTGTATAATGTGCATCGACATAGACCCACTCTGGGAGGGTGAATCTATAGGCCTATTGACTAACTGGAACTAGGCTAACCTAAAACATATAGAGGTTTTTGTCCTAAATAAGTTCTACAGGGTATTTATTTTTAGACCACACTCTTACATTGTGTGTCCTTTGTTATTAAACTGAAACAATGTAATAAAGAGTTGTGCGTGGTCTAAATGTGCTTATGTTAAAGGAACAGTTTTTATTTTATTGGCATTTATCTTATAGCAACAGAATAGAAGGACACACTAGTCTTTCACTTGTGAGCATATTTCCAAAGTCATATTTAGTTTTCTGGGACACAATCTAAAAAGAGATGGCATGTGTGTGTATATTTGCCAATAAAAACATGTTTGGACCACTAGGTTTTTGTATGGGATTCACTGGGCATTTATGAATAGGAGATCCTGGGATTCTGCGTCATCCTATTGGTTCATGTCACTGCAGTGTGCCTCCCCTCAGGCCGCCGCACAGCTCAGCCATCAGTCTGCTGCTGTACCGGGGGAAGGCTCTCCTGCACCGGGCCGGACCTCACCATCGTACCCTGCCTCTCTGGAGCCTTTTTCGGCCAGACATGTTTTGTGTGCAGCAGTAACGTGGAGGAGACGGGGGGCGATTTCTGTGCTACTGTTTGGTCCTCAAGGGGATGAGCCAGTTGTTGATTCTAAGCTGCAAAGAGAAGAAGCCGCACAGAGAGGTAAGATACCGTTTACGTAATGGATAATATTATGTGTTTTATCTGCAGACTTTCGCACGCGCGTTGATACGGCTTTATATTCGCTATTACTCGTGTTTGTGAGGGGCATCTGGAGGTGGAGATTAATGCGAATACGTAGCCTATTAAAACATGCCACTCCCTGCAATAGCATACTGATGCCCTGGACAGACATCTTTAAATGATTAAAATGGAAGTATGAAAATATGACAATTATTTGTTTAATAAATATGGATGTTATGCAAGGCTTCCTTAGATCAATCCGCATCTATAATACCTTAAGTTTACAATTGTATCTCCCACATATGGCCTACCCTTATGGTTTATTGTGTTTTTTGGTTAAATAAGACTTATATTATCTAAATTGTAGAGTTAAAACGCATGGATCAGTGACTTATACAAACACACACAACACTGTTATGAAATTCCTTACCAATATGGTCTACTATAATTTGATGTACTATAATATAACCCCTGTTATTGTGGATATTTAACAAGATAAAGTAGCCTGCAGGCTGCCAGAGGTCAGTCATGCTCAGTGTTGAGCTCCACATGGTGCAGAAACAGAACATTTTGGTCAGGGATGCCGTGGAGTGTAGTGTGTGTGTATGTTTGTGTGTGTGGGCAGGCTGAGGTCACTCTCATGCCTCTGAAACCCGCATTGCTGATGTGTGCTCCTATCCAGTGAAGAGTTATTTAATAGGGTGTATCATCAGGTTTCCCTACGCTCCTAAAGCAGAACACAACATCAGACGTCCTCTCTGTTCAGTGATTGCATAGCAACAGCTTGTTCACAAGTGTCCTCAAAAAACTCCTCAATTCTAAGGAGATAACACAGTTGTTGTGATAATATGGTTCATTCAAAGGACAAAATACAACGAGAAAAGGTGTCCTTTTTCTTGCCTGCTTGGCATTTCAAATGAGGGGAAACGCTTCGGGGCAGATGCTGGTTGTGTAATAATCCCATCTCTCATTGTCATCAATAGAATGCTTTACTTTAGAACCTTACCTATAGAGCGCTTTATGTCAAATCAAATCAAGAACAACTTGCACATGCAGTGGATTATAGAACATTTTGTTCAGATTTATTGCATCAGGTTCATTGTGTTGTACATCTGAATAGGTTAGATTAAGCATGATTTGATATGATATTCTCTTGACACAATGCCAACCATCTGTCTTGGTTAAATATCACTATAGTAGGGCATCACTCGAGGTCCTTCATTACATTTTTCTAATTCGATTGTATCTTCACCTGTAGATGAGTTAATGCACCTTTGGGAGAAAGGGCAGTACAAGCTACTCCATTACCAACAGTGCATTTATTATCCTCTTAAAAGCCCACTCTGGCAAATTAGTATTTCACTTCCGTAAAGGAAGGAATGGCCAGAGTCTGGGTAGCAGAACCATATAATTCAAGAATTGTTGTTTTAAGTATAGGTTGGGTTTGTGTAACACTGGATCGTACAATTCCTATAATGCAACAAATTGCATCATTCCATTTCCCTGTCTGGTAAATGCCCATGCCTTTCTCTATGCCTCCATTATCAACACACGCTCCAAGGTACCCTTGTGACTAGTCAGGGATAACATAATATGTATATATATAAAAGTGCTGGAATGCCCCTTTAAAAGTTTTTCCCAGTTTATATTTTCTTTAGAAACGTTTGAGTGCGTTCTGCTTTTGTTGTCGGATTGAGATTGGTGTGAATCAGCAAGTAAGATTCCAGCCAAAGCCTTGGTACATTATGTGATGTTGTCTCGGACGCTATTGGCAAAGGGATCAGTTTTCTTTTGCCTGTTGGAAATAAATTAATAATGAGAGTTTGCTGTTTTTCAATTAAGATTGAGAACTGTGCTGGCTTAGCTACAAGGAATATGTGTCGGTCAGTTGTAAAGTGCTTCACCAGGTCACAAGGTCAAACAGCCATCTTGTTTGAGTCCTTCTGAGCACGACATCCACATCCTGCAGACACTTCCTATTCACTAACCTTACACTACTGTCGAGACATACATGATTTGTAGGTTATATCCTTTTGACAATGTGATATAGATAGGATAACGTTACGTTAATCAATTGATAGACATTGATTTAAAATATGATATATATGTCTATAATACCTAACAATGTCAGCTAAATGAAATGTAATGCAATGTAACATAAGTTGGTTATACAATAGCTGTAGAGAGAGATACTATACTATTGATTTTCTAGGACTAGAGTGGGTTATTTCTTTAGCTTTACTCCTTTAGGAATACATTCATGATGAATGATTTTTACTCTCTCCAGTGGTGTGGACATTTAACTCTTGGAGGTAATGGGTGACTCAAAGTTTGAACAGCACCTAATGCTTCACTTTTAATTGACTTAGTCAGTCAAATAACTTTCATGAGTAATTACAGTTTTATAAAATTTCTTCAAAATCATTAAATGTGGTATTTGTGTTAGAATTTCCACGTAGATCGGAAAAAAAACGAATTATTGATTTTAAGCTTTTTGTGCTTTGAAGAAAACTAGAACAGATTTTGAAATTGTCCTTTAATTCTCTGTAATCCCCCGGAACGCTTTAGGATTTTGAATTCTTGTAAAGGCCACATTACCGTTTTGTTCATTCATTTTCTCTAGCCAAGAATTGTCTTTAAAAGTGAGTGAAGCATGAAACATCAAAGCAGCGCTGATGTCTGGTTGTAGTGTAAAAAGAGGAGGTCACATCTTTAAGTGTGTTTTTGGCCCCAGGAGCATTCTACTGTGCACTGTGTACACACACCAACACACACCAACACACACACTCATTCAAGAGGGAACAAAATCATTAAGCTGTAAACTGGAGATCTGCTCTCTCTTCCTGAGCAGCATCTGTGTCCATCCCAACGTTCCCTTGAGCCTTCTGATGGATGACGTTGAAAAGCAGGACTCTCTAACACCCTACTCTCTCATTGTTACATTTATTTAGAGAGGTCATAGGCTTGTTAAACGTAAGAAGGTCATACAAAATATTATCTTGAATTAGGACGTATCTTTATTAGCTCAGCTCGGGTTAAAAATCTGAGATTACACAGCAATGTTGTTGAGAACTCTGAAAAGTGGAGTGCCACCACACTAACATCTCACTTTAGTTGCATTTTTTTTCAGCAATTGATTACCCTTTTTGTAATGTTCATTTAAATTATGCACAGCTGCTTTGTCAGGAAAAAGCTCTATCCATAACATGGCTAACAAACAAAAAAATCTCAATAATGGATTGTTTTGTTCGTAAAAATAAAATACCTTTAAAGAAATGGATGTGAATGGAAGTGTTTGTCTTCTGACAGGAGTTGAAACTCACTTCTAGTCGAAATATTCATTGTATTTGTATCAAAGCCGCTGGTAATAGAAGACAAACAACATCTCAATTTCCATTTCTGTATCCATATAATTCCTATGTGTGCGTCTGTATGCCAGTGGTTGTGCTGCAGCTGCAGTACCATGGATGGCATACACTCAATTGTGTTTGTGTGTGTTTTTGAAGATACACTACAGAGACACTATGTTCATACATGCTAATTAAGCTCTTTTGAATGTGTTATGTATGTGCTTTTGATGTCTTCGTATGTGGGAATTATTGTCTATAAATAAACAGCAGAACAGTGGTGTTTTAATTTCTAAGCTTGGTGCTTTGGAACCTGTGCTCTGGCTGAGAAAGTCATTATGCAAAACACACTTGTTGGTAATCAGATGCAGAAAAGCTACGTTTTTTGAAAACATGGTGAGGGTGGACCAAATCCTGGCAAATAGCTGCTGGAAGCGAACCATTATTTGTATTAAGTCAACACAGGATGCAGACACTGTTTTTTTTCTCCAATTCTGCAAACATATTTTCACGAGAGGTTTGAGTCAGAATAGACTGGTACTACAAGTTAACAGTTTGAACATACAGTATAAATGTTGGAAAAAGTGGACCTAAGAACCAAAACCCCTGAACTCCAAATGCTTGTAGTTGATGGTCAGTTTATGCAGAATGTGCAATAATATCAACACTTAAACTAAAATAAAACAGCTGATACTGCTATTGTCACCTTATTTAACATCACTGTTTGGTCTTAAAGTGAATTTGTCAGGTTGAAAGCGTCTGTGACTTTATCGTATGTGTGAAATGGAAAGCTTTGTTTTAACTCTAAATATGTATACATTGTATCCAGCCTGACTCACTCGTGCATTTAGTTGTCTTCCTAGAACATCCTTAACAAGAGAATCCTTAAATTGTGCCTCCACACATATTGAGTTATTTTATAAATAATACCAGCATAAAAAAACCTTTGCACTGACAAGCAGCTGTTTGTAATGTTTCCACGCATTTCAGTTGTGTTTTTACGCTGTCTGGCGAAATAGATTCTCTGCAAGCTACAGTATTTCCGGCATAGCTACAGGGGAAAAACACAACACATATAAACAACAATCATCTGTTTAGGGAGCCAACCTTTCAAATGGAAAGAATGTCTTGTTCTTTTTTACTTAAAAGCAACAATACTGTATTTATTGTTGTGCTGCCTGCTGCAAGAACACCCTGCATGCTATTCACGATTTGAACATATACACAAGACTAGAATATAGATACCCCTCCAACTCACAGTCTCTATGCAAGAAGGCAGGTTAGGCACCGCAGTGTTACATAAATCCAGATTCCTTGGGTTTAAAGAATGATGAAGCACCATGCCCTGTCTCTGGCCATTCCAGTTTATTTAATCAAGAAGCCCCTTTAAAGAGACTAGACTTGACCATAAAGAACGTGAAATGGTTTAAGATCTTCAAATATATACACATCGATCATCATATTACACTTCCTGTCGTATTCCATGGTCCGATCTGACACAGTGTCAATATGGAGACAGCTTTCTTAATTGGTCTGGGGTTGCTTGAATCACCTCATGCTCTCTTTGCTCTCTGGTCCTGGTTATGAAAGCTCCCTGCTGCCTAATGGAGACAGAATGAGTTGTCTGTGCTGTCTATCACTGCCTCCCTGCTGCCTCACCCTCCATCTCCCCCCTGATCATTTCACAACCAGTCACAACTCCCTCGTCCATCTGCTCTTTGTGTCTCATGGCTGTGACCTTATTGCTTGTCTCTGATGCTGTACGACAGAAACACAAACCCCCCAGTGTTTTTCGCAAAATTAATTTTTAACTCCAAATAAATGACTCTCGGGGGAATTGAAATGGGGATTCTGGATTAATATTGCACAGCTTGTCATTGCGCTTTTTGTGACATTATTAAAAGGTCAGATTTTAAGTTTACTTCCTGGTATTGCGCCTTCTCAGGTTTTAAGTAAATGGGTGGGTTTAAGCACACTATTTAATATGTTTTCAAGTAATTAAATAGAAATGGGTTGTTAATTATGATAAAGACAGGACACATTAAACATCATAACGGATCGAGATGTTTTTGTGTGAAATTCTTTATTTCCTTTGTTGTTCTGTATAATATTATTCTGCCAGAGGAAAAAGTTGATTGATAGCATTTATATTAATATGCATGGGGTTCACAGAGAGGTTTTTAGAATCAGAAAGGGAATACAATCAATTGTAGTATAAATCAAAGCAAGCTGTGGCTGATTACATGGTCAATGGCAATGATTTTAAATAGTTTTACATTTCATTATGACATTTGATTACTCATTGGTGTGTTTTAGGGCTGGAATGTATATCCTATATCCTCTGTTCCCAACCTTTTTGGCTTGTGATCTTCATCAAAGCCTAAGTGTAACCCTGTTGTCTCCAATTTCACATCGACAAGCTGAGCCTAATAGTGAATTTCCTTGCTATGGCTATATTTGAATAGTTCCGAGATTTAAAGAAGCACATTCGTCCATAAACTCTTATGAATAGAGTTAAGAAGATTTGTAATATTGTTGAGAAAAATACGTTTTTACATCTGGACCACTTTGGAAGCCACTGGTTTAGATCAAATATACAGGATTAAATCATTTCAGATGTCTCATAATAATACTATTTTTGGCCATATATAGTGACTAAAAGGATATGTTTTTAAACTGAACATCAAGATTATTACTTTAAAAATAAACACAAAGAACAATTTAATCAAATCATCATGTCGCCAATCCACTGAAAACTAATATATATTTAATTATAGCCAGCCTCTGACAAGGATCTCCAGTTTTCATGTAGCGAGGTTTTGTTCAAAAGGACAGAAAGCTCATCCCATTATTTCTGATTTACTGTAGTTAAATCCTGATTTATGATGCTTGTTTTCCAGGGCAAAGGACTGCTCGCAGTGAACAGGTGGCCTAAAACGATGAAGGACAGTCGGCCAGTGCAGGACTAGCCCAAACCGAGGGATCTGGAGTGGAGGTGGAGGAGGAAGAGGAGGGGGAAGACCATAGAGAGACAAAGTAAATCACATGACCAGGCCCTGGGAAAGGCTCCAAATTAGTGATGTTCCCCTCGGGCAGGGATTACCTCCTCCCCGTCGTCTACCTCTCCATCGCTCCCGCTCTTCCTCCCTCGCTCAGCACTGCAGCCTTCCAGCTCCAAGACTCTGAGCCGTGAGAGCTCGCTGTGCTCAACCACCCACACACAAACACCAACTCACACACTCTCTCACACGCACGCACGCACACACACACACACACACGCACGCACGCACGCACGCACGCACACACACACTTTTGCATCCTGCTCATGGTCGTTGGCCTGTCCTCAGCTGCTGCTCCTGCTCTAGTCCGTGACCATGAAGAGGCCCAAGCAGCAGACGGGGCCGCTGAGCTTCCTGAACTTCTTCAGCAGGAAGCCCAAATCAGAGTCGAGGCCCGAGCGGCCGCTGGAAGCCTGGCCCAGAGAGGAGGTGGCCATAACCCTGACGCCCAGCGAGCACCCCAAGCAGGTGAGACGCAGGAAGAAAACCCAAATCTGTGCTATTATTTCTCATAGTGTTGAGTTTTTATGTATGTAGGAGTTAGATCTTGGATTATATATGTTACAATTCTAGTCCTATTTTTATAAAGTCAGTTAATAAGCCTTTTTTTTTATAAGTAGTCACTTTTTGTAAACATGCTGACAAAAATGGGCATGATAAGAAAGTAATGGTCAGGTTTTGTTTTCATTCTTTCTTACTATTGATATAATGCACATAATGGCGTACAATATTTGCTATTAATTAGTTCATTATCCCTCCATATTTAGAGTCATATGTATAGTTTTTGCCACAATGACAAGAGAAATGTCTCACAAAAGCAAGAGGAACCTGAAAAGAGGCTGTAGATCATTAACCTTTGGATGTATTCGCTTCTGCTTGCTCTCATACTGTTATAGCTCAAGTCCATTAGATTGTTTATTTAATTAATTGGTCATTTCGAGAAATTATGTTGCCAAGAAACCAAGCTCATCAAGTATCGCCTACATACACACTCAGCATACTGAGTATTAACATGAAGATGTTCCACTTGCTTTCATTTATTTCTCAAAATATATGTTTTTTTAACAGCTTAAACTCCCTACCTTCTACTTTTGACCCTGCTTATCACTCTGAGGTTTTTTTAAGGTCCTATACTACATTTAATAAATCAGCAGCTGTGTTACTGTTCACAGGACCTCACAGCAGAAGAGGCTGGAGGAGAAAGAGGAGAAGGCGGGGGTCCTCCAGCGGCAGCGCGGGGGCCAGCGGAGGCCGGTGCCGCCACAGCTGAGTGCGTGGGCGGGGTCAGCAGCGGCTCCACCGGCGTCCTGTCCCTCTCCTCCTCCAGCCAGGAGCAGCTATTGGACGAGCACCTGGAGGAGTGCCCACTGTGCCTGCTCAGTCAGCCGCGCTGCCACTTCCCACGACTCACCTCCTGCTCCCACCGAACATGCTCCGACTGCCTCCGCCAGTACTTGCGCATCGAGATATCGGAGAGCCGGGTGGGCATCGCCTGCCCGCAGTGCCCCGAGACCCTGGCGCCGATGGATGTCCAGTCCATCCTGGACGACCAGGCGCTGCTAGAGCGCTTTGAGGAGTACCAGTTGAGGCGTTTCCTGGCTGCTGATCCAGATACACGCTGGTGCCCTGCGCCTGACTGCAGGTGAGAAGCAGACCACCAACAAACATCATATATTTATCCAGAAAAAGTTTTACAGTTTGCACATTCACACTGAAAAGGTATTGTTTCCAAGACATGATAAACTTAAGGGTCACTGTGAGAGCAGGGACCTGAGCCAAGGCTGTTTTTATAAGTGAAAAATGATGTAAGTATCCGCCCCGGGATTCAGATCCACTCCAAAGTTTGATGGGTTTTTCCTTGACCCATGTGCCACCCTCAAACCAAGCTTCATGGAAATCGGGCTTGTAGTTTTTTCTATAATCATGCTGACAAACTACAAGGAGAACGTAACAAGTTTAGACTTTCTTTAGGTTTCTACTTAGTTAACTAAAAAGATAATTTCATAAGGGAGAGGAAAAGGCTTTAAACCCTCATCCAACTCCACTGGTTGCTGGTCAAGTCACCTACAAAGTCCTCCTCCTTACCTACAAGTCCCTCCATGCCCATGCCCCCCAGTACCTATCGGACGTCCTTCACCCACATGCCCCACCCCGGAACCTGCGGTCTTCAGACTCTGGCCTGCTTATCACCCCCCGCACCAAACTGCGAACCTTCGGGGACAGAGCCTTCAGCGTGGCAGCCCCCACCCTCTGGAACGCTCTCCCTGCGGAGATCCGCAACATCCCCTAGCTTGACGCCTTCAAAAGGGCCCTCAAGACACATCTGTTCACCAAGGCCTTTGGCCCCTAATCTATTTGTTGTTTTTGTGTGTCTGACTGGTTGTCTGATTGCCTTTTGTTTTGTTTTTGTTGTTTGTTTTGCCCTGTTCTTCCTTGTAAAGCGACCTTGGGTCCCATGAAAGGCGCTATATAAATCTAAGCTATTATTATAATTGCAATATTATCATGGTGTACCTCTAACATGTTGTATATGATGTACAGCTTGATGACAGACTGTCCTCTGATGAGGTGGTACATCATGGAGTAATCCACGTAGCTCATCATGGAGTAACACAATACCATGATGAAGCCTTTCAGCACATCACACACCTGGGCCGGCTGGAGCAGGCGGGCGCCACTAAAACACACACACACACAAATTATACATGGTAGAAATGTTCACAGAGGAAAGTCACAAGAAGAGAGGGAGAACAGAACAGGTTATAAACGGTCTGGACAAATGCAGAGAGAGCTGTACTGCCCTCTATAGAGGTTAAAAACAATGCTTCACAGGTCCTGTTTACAAATGTGGCTAAGGTTAGATAAAGGAGGTGTATTTGCATTCCTAGAAATGGTGTACTTTACCCAAGGCCACAGCAAGGCAACGTGAGGAGCCGTAAAAGAGCCAGAATCACCCTGAGGGGCAGCAGGGTGAACACATAGAGGAAGGCATCCAGACAGAGGAAGAAGCCGAATGTCATCAACTAAAGAGAGAGATTGAGAGACAGACATGGAGAATAAGATAATACTATTTATTTATTTGTGACTTTGTAATAAATTGTGTCACACTGAATTGTTAGTTTTTACCTTTTCCAGCTCCTTGGGGATGCGGAGGCAGGTGTAGACCCTCTCTCTGCGCTCGGTGTATTTGGCCTCATTGTGTTCCAGGAAGTAGCCTCTGGTTAGCTCAGTAGTTATAAATCTGACCAGAGACAGGTCTATAGCAAGAAATGGACAGAAGACAAATAACTGAATTAATAGACATGCACAATAAAGCCTTCTAAGGGAAATTAGAAATGGCACACCTTAGTGATAAAAATAACTATAATCCTAAAAAGCATTTATAGTTTCCTTCATGTTAGCAGCAGGTGCCTATTTTACACTGCAGACAAAGGGGATTCCTTAGCTCATAATAAACCATTAAAATGTGCATTAAGATAGGAAATACCTTAACTATATGACCGAACAGGTCCACAACCAAATATTACAACCATATGCGAGTGTTGAACATCTTATTCCCAAACCATAAACTCGCTGCTATAACTGACTTCACAGTTATGGGAAAGTTTTCCAAAAAGTTTTGTAGCATGGCTGTTTTTTCCCCCATCCAGTCACAAAAGTACAATAGTGCATTAGTGAGAAGACTGATGTTTGGTTATTGTTTGGCTCACCATCAGGGCTGAGTGAGTTCATCCTAAAGTTGTTGGATGAGTTCAGGGTATTTAAGGTCTTCTACTACACCATGGGAAAACATTATCTATTGACTTTGATTTGTGTATGGGGGGCATTGTTTTGGTGAAACAGGGCTTTCCCAGAACTTTTGGAAGTACACTTTTATCGAAAATAGTTAATCTTCTTCTTTCATTTATTCAAATTCAACAAGCAATTCATTGTATTTTAGCAGTAAACTAAAAACAGCAAAAAGTTCATTCTAACTTCTGTTTATTTATTCAAATAATATCATATTTTCTTGTTTCGTTTAGCTCTATTGCTTAGCTTTTCCTAAGGTTTTTTCCGGTTTTTTGGGGGTAGCGTTCCCTAAAGCGACGGTAACAACCATAAGTGTCGATTGATGGATACATTGTAAAGCCTCCTGAATTGCCTATATAATTGACTTGACATAAATTGGAACCCAATTACAAAAGTATAAAGTATAAACACGTTTCCTACTCTCGGCCGCGCTCCTGAATGCGCTTGTGCAAAGAAACAGCACGTCTTAATTTGACATAGCAGCAAACTGGCCTATCTACACTTCTGCATGTTTAGTACATCATTGCATGCAACCGTGCGGTCTCGCTGACAGTCGTCTAACAGCTACAGTAGGATGCATATAACATAAATGAGACACGCAACGTCACTTTAAATCCACTGAGTGTTTAAGAAACAGTAGCTGAAGTGATATAGTTAGCCACATTCAGGGATCAATTGCAAACTCGGAACAGTGCCACAGGCTACACAGACTATTAGTAACATATTGAAATTGAAACTGCGTGCTCAAGCAACACATATAACCACCTATACAGTACAGTTATGTTATATAACCAAACACAACTTGGTCAGTTGAGTTAAAATAACTTCAGCACAGCCACAGCAGCTAGCTAGCGTTAGCGCTGTCAGCCTACAGGCTGTAGTAACGATGCTAGCTCTCACCTGACAGGTTGCGTTTCTTGCCATTGTTGCCTCCGTTTTTATCGTTGGACCGCAGGGTGTCCGTGACTCTGTCTTTCTCCTTGTTTTTCTCTGTTTTGGCAGCCTTCCCGTCCCGCTCCCTGTCTTCATTCTCATTCTCCTGCTCCTCTCCCAGACCTGACGACAGCGAATCCGCCATCTTCAGCCAAACGGTCTCATCCGCTGCTGCTGCTGCATAGTATGGAAATTATGGAAAGCCAAAAGTGCCATAATTCGCCAGTTTATTTCGCCCGGTTTTTTGTAAAAACGGCCGAATATTCGCGCGAATATTATATTATTATTATTATATATTAATATTATATATATGGACCTCCGCGAAAATATGCGCGAACATACGCGCGAACATACATGTGAATGTTCGGCGGTTTTTTATATGATAATGGGCCCCTCCTTCTGATTTCTATAGCCAATAAGGTCAACGTTTCTGTAACCAATCAGTGAAGAGTAAAGTCAGACCAAAGCAATCTGTAGATGAAAAGTTCCTGAGATTGTGAGGCTGTGCTGTGAATTATACATTATTCCAGATTCAGGGGGCTAAGTATTAATTTGCCTTTGAATATAATCAATATATCAATCAATATATCAATATAACCTGCCTTCATTGTCTTTTAAAAATAAAATCGCCTTACCCTTGTCCTTAACCCTCTGGAGTGTGAAGTGAAGGGTATTTTTCTTGATTTTTAGATGTCTCCTTAAATCAACTTTTAAATGTACTTCTTATAACATGGCACCCCATGTGTTTCATATCAGGATGTTCAGGACAGTCTCTGGTCTTAGAAATACAAGTCACTCACCTTAGAGCACTGTTTTATGAGATACTTAGCTGAAAATGAGAAATCCGATTTTTGGATAACTTCAAAACTCTTGTGAAATCACAGATTTACTCATGTCATCCATTTTTTTGGTGTTTCAGATTTGATTTACCAAAGTCTTAGGTTCACAAAAGTAGTGACATATATGAATTACACTATAGACCTATATAAATGTGTTATTCATGTCTAAAATATAAATGTATAAATTAGAATTTGGAGTAAAATAGTTCTATCACTCTACTTTCACCACAGAAAAGTTACATCAGGACTGATTCATGACTTCATATTCCATAACAAGGTTCATGTGATGTGTACAAATACAAATTGAGCATTACAACTTTTTTCAACCAACTATTTATGTTAACAGAAGAAACTGTAAAATCTCAATATTTACAATATCAGAACTTTTTCAACCAACTATTCATTATAAATGTAAAGACAGGGGGAGCAGTGTCATCGTCCTTGTCTGTCTTCCAAGAAAGTGGGTCTGGCTGCTGTGTAGGTGCATGGGCTGCTGATGGCTGTGTTGGAGGGAGGTAGGTGTGATTGTCCCGGGTTGATGCTGGTGGCTGTGTGGGAGGTACGTGTGCCTGCCGCAGACTTGGCATTCTGGCTAGAACGATTGTACATCCATGGAACGACCATACAAACGGCAGCAACTTTCCTTCTGCTTCATATCTCCTGTTCAACAGGTTAGTAGTATGTACAAAGATAATGTCATATTTCGATCTAAGAAGTGTGTTTGAAACTGTTTTATATGTAGTTTAAAGTCATTCTGTGAGCTAGTTTTGGCTCCTCTACAGTGTGTGGCTAATGGTGTCCGCTAGCTTCTTTAGCACAGGCTATCGCTCCCTGAATAATGTAGGGCTCAAACTACTATGTTACTATGTGTATGACTCCCATGCACTAGTTTGGCTTACATTTCAAGTGTATTCTGTTTGTATAAATATGTGAATTGCTGGTCTGAGGTCATAATTGTTCATATTATTTAAATGCTAATAGCGCCAATGCTATGCTAATATTGTGCCTGTCAGTGTACAATAGAGCCATGTTAAAGTGAGTACAGTCAACCGGGTTGGGTGTGTTATCACTGTATTATATACTGTAAATGAAGAAAGCTTTAATCCTTCATAAAAGTCATAATATGGCATGTGGATTTATTTCCATTTTTGATTAGAGACAAATATGTCATACAGCTATTTTGATTTGCTAAATGTATGTTTACATTAAGAACAAATAATGATTAGATAAATAGAGAACACATATATAATTTGTAAGTGAATGTATTAATGTGTTTAATGAATTCTGGCTAGAACGACCAGACAACCGGCAGCAACTTTCCCTCTGCTTCATTATTTTCTCCTGTTCAACAGGCTTATTATCTGATTACCAGATCTGCACAGCGGACTTGTAACACTAGCAGCAGTGGAGATGGAGCATCAGAACCTGAAGGCTTCTACTCTTCTGAAGAAGAAAAATACAGCAACAAGGATCCATTTGAAGATAAATAAGTGTAAATATTACAGTAATAGTGTACTTGCACTGTATGTGTGTAAATAGGTTGGAGTAAAATCCTGCTAAATGGTAGAACTACGCCTTCTAGTGTCGTAAATGTGTGCCTGCATTATTAAGAAATGACAGTGGATTTTGGGTAATCATCAATCCGTTGAGGATAGCTAATGGAACGTGATGCACAACATAACGGTGTCCTTTTTATTTGTGTGTCCTCTGCCATGGAATTGAAGATGGAATAAAGCAGCTGTTATCAAAAGCCTGACAATCTCAGAGTGATCCATCAAAAAGAGAAGACATAACACAGGGGTTACATGGGGAATACCGCGAAAATGAACTATAGGTTTATTGATCCATTTTTTGTTATCGATAGTAATGAACTTTCTCTTGTGACTAAATATACTCTCAGTTAGTTAACGTTTACTCTGTGTAAAATTTATTTCTAAGTGTAAAAGTGAGGTAACGTGTAGATGAATAACATAAACTTTTATTCGTACCACACATAGAGATGTATTTATATTTGTGTCTTTGATTTTATACTTAATGTAACATAACTGGAAATACCTGTATGTGTGTGTGTGTGTGTGTGTGTGTGTGTGTGTGTGTGTGTGTGTGTGTGTGTGTGTGTGTGTGTGTGTGTGTGTGTGTGAGAGAGAGAGAGA